GTTTTGATATGTTTCCAGAAGTTCATTCTAGTTGATTGAATGGGAAAAGTTCTGTAGCCTGACAGATTCCAGAGCAGTGCACAATGAAATCATCAAGCTACAATGATATAATATAGTAATATACAGTAAATTCAATCAAGAAAAACATTAAATCTAGGTCAAATCAATGATTATTACATATAGCTGGCACTGATGGAATGATGGAAATAACCAGATAAAATTCTTTCATTTTTGGCTGAATCACTTCACCTTGTAATATTTCTCATCATAACGGAGAGTTCGTTCCATATGCTGGGTTTTTGAAACAACACATGTTCTCATATACTTATGTAAAGCATCCTATGCAGAACATAATGATTTAATAGATCTCAAATGAAAGACAAGTGAGGAGGCATATGATAACACTCTGCAAATAAAGAAGTCCCTCGCAAAAAATGCTATATCCTGCTTTCTATCATCACAAACTGCAGGGCATGGAATAATGGGTTTAAATTAGAAAAAGGCAGAAAAAAAATAAAAGTAAAGATTAATTTTAACAGTAGAGACAATTATTAAACGGGTGATGAGCTGTATTCAATCAAGCAGAAGCTAGATGAACATCTGTCAAAAATTCATGCAACTAACCATGAGGTCACATTCATAGGCCTAAACACACTGGAGAGTAAAAATAATTCATCATAATCGCTGTTAATGGAACATAAAAAACTTTATCCCAACTCTGATTTGATACTTTCTTATGCACAGTTTGGAAGTCTCACTTATTCATAATTTGCAAGTTCAGCTGTAATAGAGTTTTGATTAAAAAAAAAAATCAACATGTATACTGTTACTGGAATCTCATACAATTAATAAGTTTTAGCTACTTTTCCCCACTAACATATTAAATATCCTGCCAATTCTCATGACTTACATGTCTTTATTATAACAAGGATATGGTGTAGCCTGAACTTGGACAGCTATTTCTTCTGCACTTTTCCCAGTCTGTAGTTCAATTATTGCTCTATCAATGCTATCTTGGATGTAGACAAATGCTCGACTGTAGATTTGGCTTTGCGAGGCTGAATTATGTGGTCCCCCTGTCCAAACTTTTTCTCGTATTCTTTTCGTTGTTTGGGAAATCTTGCTGCTCATTCGGATGGTATAATTGACTAATGGTGGAAGGGAAAGTCCACTAGGTGTTACGTGTTTTCTTGTCTCATTTGAAGGTAACTTGAAAATGACACCTTTAAAAAAGGAAGAGAAAGATTTGCAATTACCAAATAACTACCGGTAGTATATGATAAAATGCATGTTTATATCAGAGCCCAACAAAGGCTGCACCTACCTTGATGATTCATCAGTTGGGAAAATAATAAAATAAAAATGAATGTCAGTTATGTTGGTGTAATTTACACCTGACTTCTGTAATTACTGCTAAGGTTTCATTCAATCCAATTCCTTTACCTGTTCTTATGAAACAGAAGTATTTCCAGAGGGCTGCAGTGAAATGCTATAGTCTGCTGGTTTATGCCCATATGCATTCCAGGATAGTTTATTTATTGATAAAATAATTTAATTTGTTGAAAATGAAAAACATGTCACATGTGCATTAGTTTGATCATATGAATACTTTGAAATTATGGGCATGGCAGTTTAGCTCAAAATAATATGTCTAATCTTGATATTTCTTAAAAGTTCCAGTGGGAAAAAATCCATATAACCTTACTTACTTGCAAAAAGTTCATTTCTCAGAAACAGATCTTTTGCCATCATCTCCATTTCCTCTACAGTTTTGCCTGGCTGAATGCGATCAAGCAGCACACATGAAGAAATATTTACTGATAGTCTTGCTAAAATAATAAGTTGATTTATTATATCAGTGCTATTCTGTAGTTCCAAACGTATATCATCTGAAATAAAAGAAATCAAACAAGAAAACTTTAATCTTCAAATTATCATGTCTTACCGACTTAAAAAATTCACAAAAGCCCCCAAATTATCACAAATTAGTTTAATAAATTTAGTTATGAAATTTCTAAAGCTTTAAACACTCTTTGGCAATAGACTTGTTCTCATAGGATGTTATTACTATTAATAATAAGAAATGATATGTAAGGTGGCTGCAGATGTGATCTGTCTCAGATTGTAGATAAGGAATTTTCTGTAGATGTTCATCCCATCCTTTCTACCAATATGCATTTTTTTTCTTCACTCTGGTTTCTACAGATATGTATACAGTATATATACATGTATATTTATAAGAGCCTTGGTGGTGCAGTGGTTAGAGTGCAGTACTGCAAACCACTTCTACCGCAGCCAGCTGCCTACAATTTGGCAGTTCAAATCCCACCAGGCTCAAGGTTGACTCAGCCTTCCATCCTTCCGAGGTGGATAAAATGAGGACCCAAATTGTTGGAGGCAATATGCTGATTCTGTAAACTGCTTAGAAAGGGCTGTGAAGCACTATAAAGCGTTATATAAGTCTAAGTCAGAGGTAATATTCAGCAGGTTCTGACCAGTTATGGAGAACCGGTAGTGGAAATTTTGAGTAGTTCGGAGAACCGGCAAATACCACCTCTGATGGGAGATTTTTACAATATCCTTCCCTGCCAAGCCTACCAAGCCACACCCACAGAACCAGTAGTAAAAAAATTTGAATCCCACCACTGGTCTAAGTGCTATTGCTATATACACACTCACACAAACACACACATAAATATACACTGCATATACGCAGATACTAATATAGCAGGTGTAGTTTTGTTCAGAAATGCTTTACTGCAAAATAAGGAGTTGCAGGCCAAGATTTATGAGAAAGTTTTTTTGCCACAATAGTTGGTTGTCCTCTAAAATGGGATGTAGCTTGTAGTTCACTTTTAATTTATATGACAGAATAATGCAATTAAACCATTCCCAGAATTCTGTGCAATACAGTGACCGTTTAACTATTCCTGTTAAACAAATCTGGAACAATTTTCTGGAAGAGAGTGCTAGTGAAACTAATCAAAGCCTCTTTTTCACACATTGGTATAGTGGCCACATGTCCTTTATTATAAAGGGCAGTCCTTTATTCAAAAAACAAGCCTTTAGATTTATTTACTTTATTTTTCATTTTGGTCATTTAACTTTTATCATACAAATGGAAACGTTTCACATTCATGTCAAAAATGTGTAAATTATTTTTTAAAATTTATTTACATACCGTATATTGTACTGCTTGATTTAAGACATTTTATTAGAATATATGTTTTTGTTAAGTTTCTTGGTTTTGCTCTTGGATTTTCCTTTCTAAATTTAAGTTATAAACAATTTTTTAATCCTTGTGAACCCTTTTCAGATGTGCTCCTTTTCCAGTTCCTCCTTTATTTTTTTCAAAAAAATATGATCACCATAGACATACTGTAGGTCTACCTAAAGAACAGCCTTCGTTATCTAAATACTATGTGTCACAGAGAACAGTGGTGAAAAATTACCTTCCAATAATCCCTCAGGCAGAGGGTTCAAAGGGATGGCAATATGTTGTAAGCTTCTCCAGAGACAGCCTGCTGGGTTCTCTTTGTAAGGAGGGGGTTATGTAATATGGGGGGCAATTGAAGGAATACTTTTCCTTGTAGATGAATGCCAAATGTCCACTTATGTAAAAATAATAAACACACAATCAAGGGCTAAAAGTACCCTCTGCTTCTGGTTATCTCTGTTTCTAGGCAGGAACAAGTCTGACCTATTCTGCAAGTTTAGTCACAAGGCACTATAGAAGAACATTGGAGTTGTGCTGCAATAGTGCCCGTTACAAAACACCAATGAAACTAAGGTTGAGTATTGGCTGATAAGGTATATGGCCCTCACTGTCCACCCAAACTCCAAGTAGGAAAAACACAAGAAAATTGGACTCATAGTATATGAAGTCAAATATAATTTACTAGATATAATGGAGACCAGGTGGGCTGGATCATGTGACTGGCATACACAAAAGATATAATTTGTTCAAAAGTAACAGAACAGAATGGGAGAAAAGGTTGAAGAGAATCCATTCCTACTCAGATATTGGAATAAATGGAGTTGGTAAGAGTGGAAGAATTTGGGATTGTTTTTTTTTAAAAAAAAACCTGCAAATTTTTAAAGACCTTGATACTTACTGGGAAATAAATTCTGCCCATGTTCCTTCCAATTAATTTTCATTTGCACTATTGACTCCAAACCATTAGTTATTCTTGATTTTATATTAACCAAAATATAAAAATGAGAGAAGCAGGTACATTGGGAGAAAGTGATAGTATAGATTTAAAATTATAGGAAAAGAAAGAAATTCGTATGCTGTTCAGCGAATAGGGCAAAATAAGGGATTGCTTAATGTCTGTTTTCTACTTTATTCAACTAGAGTATATGCATTAATAGAAGATAATATTTGTAGCCAAGGGTTGAACTGTGGGGTCCTTGATGCTAGCTGAGTGTGGCTGTTTTCTTGCAGATGTCATTACCTAATGTCATCAGTGCATAATGCATATGCATTCCATATAATTGTGAATATTTATTTATTTTTAATTAGATAATTACCTTATTAAAGCATGGGTATATTGTAGATATGTTATGATTTCAGTAGAAATTTGAAAACCATTACATATATATTAAGTATATATAGGCTGATTGACATTAAAGTTAAAAAGATAGGTACAGGGGTGGGATTCTACCAGTTCTATCCGGTTCTATAGAACCCCTTGTTAACTTTCTAAGCAGTTCGGAGAACCAGTAGTTAGAAGCAATCTCCTTTTGTTTTTTTCCACCCTTATTACATTCTTGGCAGACAGCCTAGACTTACTGTCTCCGGAGCTTTGGGGGCTTGGCTTGCTTAAAGGGGAAAGGTTGTTTTAAGATTTTTACACTGCTGTTGGGAGGAAATATTTCCCTGGACAATCAGCACTTTGAAGAAATCATTGAATAATGAAGCAAAGCTTTTAGTGACAGGGAACCAAGATGAGTGACATTCAGCAAGGCTTCTTGGCTAGCTAGAAAGATTGACATTCAAATGTGAGTTTACATACTCTTTCTGGGTTTTGGTCTAAAACTGGTTTTTGGTGAAAGTTAATTCTATGCTTGGTGAAGTTTAATCCTGTGTTTATTGACGGGATAATTTTCCCTATTCAGCTTCAACAAGCAACAACTACTGTTGTGGTTTAATTATCTGTATTGTGTTTGAATTTGTTCCTGCCTCATAGTTTCTTTTTCTATCTGGGGAGGGGGTTCTTCCTTCACTGCTTTAATACTCTCTGGCACTGTCCTTTTGGGGTATACTTCCAAGAGGCAGGATGCAAGCTTGGCACTGATTTTTTTTACTGCCTTTCTGGGGGGCATGTGACCTTTCCTTAAACAGTTCATTTAGTGACCATTCAAAGTTACAATGGCACTGAAAAAAGTGACTTATGACCATTTTTCACACTTATGACCATTGCAGCATCCCCACTGTCATGAGAGGCCAGGCGAGGAGAAGCGCCCCTTGACATGAGTGATGTCAAGTTGGCCATGCTCACCCAGTCACATGACCACCAAGCCACTCCCACCAACTAAGCCACGCCAATAGAACCGGTTGTTAAAAAAACCTGAATCCCGCCCCTGAATAGATAGCATTAAAAAAGAAAGAGAAAGCCACTTTGTGTAGTGCTTAAGACATCAGAAGAGCAGGAGAGAGCGCGTTCTAGTCCTGCCTTAGGCACAAAGCCATCTGAGTGACCTTGGACCAGTCATATTCTTTCAGCCATAGGAAGGAGGCAATGGCAAAGCACTTCTGAAAAACCTTGCTAAGAAAACTGCAGGGACTAGCTCAGGCAGTTGCCAGAAGACAGTGTTGACTCAAAGATTAGATTAGATTAGACTAAATTTCATAATTCCTCATCAAATCAGAGAGTATATTGTCTGAGGTTCATGGGATATAGTCCTCTTCAACATCATGAATAGGATGAGGAACATTTTGGAAAAAATGATAAGCATTCTCTCCATCTCCTCATGGGAACTTCAATATTCTAGAAGATTGAAATACTGTTTCAAAAAATTGGTTACAAAAAAATGACTGAAATAACAGAATGAAATTTAATGGAGATAAGCTCAGTGCTTAGAATTCCCAGATTTAGTCACTAATCTTAGAATCCCCAGATTAGTCATTTAAGAAAAAAAAACCTGCTCATTTGTCCTAAATTTATTTTCAATCTTTCAAGTTTTATGAAGAATACATCTTATATGCTCACACTCCTCATGTTCTTATTTTTTTCACTTTCATAATATACTACAACGCCATCATTAGTCAGTCAAGAACCTATATTGTACCTGGTTAGTAAAATGAAGAACTCACCCAGTTCATTAATTTGGTTTAACAATTCAACAGCATCCAGCTTCACCATAAGTTTGATGAAAACCTGTACAAAAGGATTCTGCAATGTGTTCTGCCAAATGACATAATGAGTATTTAATATTCAACTTCAAATACATTAAGCTATTTTTAAAAATTGTGATTGAAATTATTCCCCTCAAATAAAAAAATTGACATTTCCCAATAAAGCATCCTTTCAATCTGAGAATCAGGGACCAAACTTTAAGAATTAAAATTATAGTTGTTTGTACAGTCAGCCAGATGTTTAGGTGAGAGGCACTTGCTAAATGAGGACTGCCTGTATTTCTGACAAAATTTCCTCATAAGATTTGTTTCACTATACAGTTAGTTATGCAGGTGTTAATAACAGCGGAATCAAGTGCACTCACATAAATAAGACTCTCTGCATAAATTAGTTTTTAATTATGTGCAAATATAATATATGGAATGAGATATTTTATGATATCTAATATCTATCTAAACCAGGGTGAAGTCCACAGAAATGTTACCATGAAAAAGTTATAAAAATAATTTATTTCAAAAACAAGAAGGAAATCACTTTCCTAATACAAATGAAGAGCTCTGTTCCTAATAGCTTCATAAGCAATAGTTTTTAATGAACTTTTCTAAGAGACATGTTTGGAACAAAAACATTAGTATGATTTCATTCAGCCATAAAAATGACAATTCTCACAATCCTAAAACATAAAAGAAGATTATTTATTAGCCTTATTATATTGAATGTGCTTTATTGACTTTCATGAATTTCATCCACTGCTTTTTTATGAACAAAGATAGCAAGATCAATTGCAAATTCATTGTAAATATGATGAGAAACCCCCCAAAAATAGAAGCCATAGCTATATTTTTGGGATTAAACACTGATTTATATTTTAAAAAAAATATTCTGAATTTTACATTTTGAATTCAGATATATTGTGATTTATAATACACAAATACTTCAGTTCTCTTATTTCTCATATCATAGTGTTGTTTCTGTAGTTCAGCAAAAGGTTTGTAATTTATGGAGGAAATTGCACTTTAGATTGCTCTCTGGTTGTCCAATTTTAAAATTTTCAGTGCTGAGTGGGTTTAAGTGCAAGGTTCATTCTTAACCTGTCCTGGAATGTTCTATAATTATCCCTTTCCTCCCTTCCTTCTTATGATCCTTTCCCTCCTTGCCTTCTTGTGGTCTTAATTTATCTCTGACTTTATATGTTCCATACTTGCTATTGTCTACTCGCCTTTGGGGTTTTTTTTTTTGCCTTGTGTCCTGTGTTGTCTATCCTCTCTTCCTACTTGCTTTTCTCCTGCCACTACCGAGTAGTCAGCTCTCCCTGCTTTTCTCAGTTCATGGCATTCCCCCCCCCCACCCTTGTCTGTTGCTCTGCCACGCTGTTCTGTTGCCATTTCCAGTCACTGGTCCACTGGTCCACTGTGCTGCAATGCTCCACCACCACTGACAGCCTCCAGTTCCATTGATGCTGTACCATCACTTTCCACACTGCTCTCTGTGTTGCTGTCAGGATATGCTTCGCTGTGTTGCCCTTTGCTGCTGGCTCTCCTTTATTTTGTGCTGCCTCTGCTCTTTGCTCCTCAGCCACGTGGCTCCTGTTTGTGCTGCTTCTCCCAGCAAACAGGACTGTCTGGATGGCCTACAATAAGTTCGCCTCTTGTCTTCTCTCTACAGCCAGCTCTCCTTTTGCCCTCAGTTAGCTCACCTCTCTGCCACATGGATGCTCCACAGCTAGCCCCACTGGCTCACTGGCTCACCTCCTTGTTCTTCGCTAGTTTGTTTTGCCTCTCCACTCATGTCACTTCAATGGATCTCTGAGCTCTTGGGTAGGCCTCTTGGGTGCAGCTGGGCTTCTCTCAGCAGGCCAAGGTTGCTGTGAGTTGCTGTCCTTGGTGGCGTTTTCCTCCTCGAAAGATTGTTCTTTCCTCTCCTTTTCCATTTGCCACTTTTTTCTTCTTTTTCTATGATTTATCTTTCCCTCTCCACCTCTCCTCTTATAGTTTATCTTAATTTAATAGCAACTTTTCTCCCTGCGATGTAACTATGTTTCCTCCGTTGCCTCCCTTCGCTTGGAAAAATTCCCACCTTCCCTACGCAAAGTATTACCCCCACCCAAAAAAATCAGTGCAACATCTTACAGTCATCATTCTGTCGATACCCTGGATCTGGAGCAGGGTATTTATTTTGATAATTATGCAATAGGATCTCAGTAATGCATCATCTTAGATTCCAAATTTGTTTCTTTTGCTTAATCACCCTGCACCTTCCGCCATCTATCTTTCTATCTAGCTGTATACATATAATACACACACAATTGTAGAAATAAAAGCTCATTTGTTTACTATAAGTTATTTTTGGCTCATTTTCACCCATGAGTGTAATACTGGAAGTAAAGATAATATTCTCTGTTATCTACAATTATTATTATGAAAAGTTTTCACATTTAGATACCTGGACAATAATGGTTTCTCTCTGTCTGAAGAGATAATTATTTTCATGTATCTCAATGTTTCAGCATATAATTTACTGTAGTTTCTGGATATGATCTGCATACTTGAATATGTAGAATAATTATTAAACCAAATTATTGTTATAAAAAAGAGAGTAACAAGTTGGATAGTCAATATATGAAATGATGTTTCATACCTTCAACATTGGAAGAGTGTCATTTAATATAGTTAGTGAATCCATGAGCAATGGTGAACGGTCCAACCACTCCTGGGCTTTTTGTGTTAAATCAGCCATCAGTTTCAATGTTGAATTGGACTTAAAGAATTGGAACAAATAAATCAAACATTAATCTATTCTGTAGACAGGCAAAGAAGTGATTTTAAAGATTAATGTTTTTATCACAAAGTTGGCTTTCATGCTTTCATAAAAGCAAGGAATATAGCTAATCAGGTAACAATAAAGGTGCTAGTATAAATGTTCAGAATTTGAAATTTAGAAAATTTAGTTTATTCCCCATTTAAGTTCCTATCTCAATTTATCTATCTATCTTAATTTAAAAGGAATATCTGAGTTGCTGCTTTTGTAAACCCCACCAAATTACATATTCTAGAAACTTACTAATAGATTTTTTTCAGAAAAAGATTTTTTTAAAGAAAAAAATGGGATTGGTCTAAAACTAGAATAGATGGAAAATTTAGAAATAGGGGGAATACTGTTATACGTGCTTTACTTAATACAATACTTAAAGAGAATATTAGAGGTCAAAATTAGAATTTGAAAAAGGGTGTTATTAGGTATGCTCAGAAATAATGCTATTACTATTAAAAGGATGTAGCAAATATTGAATAATTGAAAAATGAAGGCTCATGTAGTTATGTATAACAACATAAGATTAATGTAGCAATTCTTAAGAATGGCTGTATTACAAATTAGAACAGACAAAACATTTAGAAATGGGGGAATACCTTTATACATATCTTAATAAAACTAAACTGAATATTAGAGGTCAAAATCAGAGTTTGAAAAATGATGTTATTAGGTATGCTCAAAAATAATGCTATTACTATTAAAAGGATGTAGCAAATATTTATAATTAAAAATGATGGATTGTGTTTTGATATAGTTATGTATAACATTAGATTACGTAAATTATATTAATTTAGAAATGCTTATTGTATTATCATTGCTTTTGTATCAAAATGATTAACACTCAGACACCACACTGTCCATGAAATGATATTGATGTATGTTTTAAAAAATAAAAAAAACAGTCCTAGAGGAGATCAATCCTGGCTGCTCTTTAGAAAGCCAGATCCTGAAGATGAAACTCAAATACTTTGGCCACCTAATGAGAAGGAAGGACTCACTAGAGAAGAGCCTAATGATTGAGGGCAATAGAAGAAGGGGCCGGCAGAGAATGAGGTGGCTGGATGGAGTCACTGAAGCAGTCGGCATGAGCTTCAATGGACTCCAGGGGATGGTAGAGGAAAGAAGACCTGGAGAAACGTTGTCCATGGGGTCGTGATGGATTGGACCAGTGGTGGGATTCACAAGTTCCCACCACTGGTTCTGTGGGCATGGCTTGGTGGGTATGGCTGCAGGGGTGGGATTGCGCAACTCGTGGGACTCGCGCCAAACATGCGCTTTATGCACGCATTAAGACAATAAAAATTAAGCTACTGCGCCTCTCATCTGTTTAGCACAGCAATCCGCTCTGCTGTGCCAAACAGCTGAAAGGTTCAAAAGGACCTAGGAGCAGGGGCGGGTGGGTGGGCCCAACTGCAGAGTGTAGGAGAGTCTAGGAGTGAACCGGTTCTCTGCAAGTTGATCTTCAGTGCTACCGGTATGCCAAAACTGGGCCGAACCAGTAGAATACCACCACTGGATTGGACATGACTTCATAACCAAGAACAACAACAACAACAATTCTAATAATAGTGAATTGTTATTTTTTAAAAAATATGTCATTACCTTTTCCATGATTGCACGTGTTTCAGGAGTATCTGGAGAATACAGAATCCGTCCACGCACCATTGGCTTTAAGAAAGACCAAATTAAAGCTCCAGAAGGTGTCTTAACCAAGTCCAGAAACAATGATATGCAGAAAGGTGCTACAGAAGAGACAAGAAAAATATTGGACCAACCAAATGAAGCACAGCAAATTCAGTCAAATACGCTGGTCTGTTAGAATCCTGATGGATCCTCTCATAACCTTGTGATCACATACTAAGGTAATACTTTTGACAAAACTACCCTCCCCAAAGATCTCCATTTGCTTAACTCGACCAGAAAGACTTATGTTTAAGAAAAGTCTTAAGATAAACTTGGAAGGATTACCTGCCAGTACATTGCCAGTTGTCCTTGTATCTATATAGGATTTTGCTATGCCAAAGACTGCTCTCACGGTCATGCAAAACTATCACAATGAGTGAGACTATTAGCCCATCAGATAGGCCAGTGTCTGACAGCAAAGCTCTCTATGGCGGCAGTGATAGATTTAATTCTGCTTCCTACTTGAAGCCCTTTTCCATTCCACGTGAGATATCCAAGTAGGAGTAAGCCACAAAACAAGGGCTATTTTTTTATTTCAGTGTTCTGAGTGAAGTCTTGTCCACATTTCTTTAAAGCACAATTTCAATATTGAATATGAAGTTAGAATAAGATTTGAACCGAGATTTGTCATCCCACATTGTAGGAGTTTAAAAAATGGTAGGGTGTTAAAAAGTTTTTGTAAGTTAATTATATTGAACAAAAGGATCCCCTGGTGTCTTTGCTGTACAGGCAGTCCTCGACTTACAACAGTTCTGTCAGAGTATATTCATGAACTGGAAATAGAACTTGGTAACAAGGTCAGCCAATGAATAGGCACAGCAACTAAGTCAGCCAATGAGGACTGTTTTTGGAAACTGAAACTAGAAGAAGCCTAGGCTGGAAACTGAAACGAAAAGTAGCCTAGGCATGGTTCTATATGTTAAGCTCTTCAACTCTGCAGCTGTGTTGAGCTCTGAGTCTGTCTATTGAAGATGAAACTAACTTGCTTGCTTGCTGAAGTCTGGAGCTCTGCTCTGAACTTGCAACATGTTTCTGTTTGAGTTTGCTCCATGTTAGAGAAATCTATAACTGGTTTGTAAAATCTACTTATGTTTATAAAGATGTTAAATGAAGCATCAGCCATCTGTGTTTATTTTTCTGGCACTGAATTATCGCTGCAAAACTCTCAATAAGTTCATTTAGTCACCTTTCAAAATTACAACGGTCCTGAAAAAAGTGACTTATGACCATTTTTTAACAGTTACAACCTTTGCAGCATCCCCATGATCATGTGATCAAAATTGGCACCTGATTTGTATTTATGACGGTTGCATTGTCTTGGGATCATGTGATCACCTTTTGCAACCTTCTGACAAGCAAAGTCAATGGGAAAGCCAGATCCACTTAACAACTCTATTACTAATTTAGCAACTGCAGTGATTCACTTAACAAATGTGGCAAGAAAAGTCATAAAACGGAGAAAACTCACAACGAATTTCTGACTCAGCAACATAAATTTTTGGCTCAATTGCGGTCATAAGTTGAGGACTACCTGTACTTTACAGGCTATACGTAGATTTCTGCAATCCACAGAATGGCCAGAACTTTGTGTAATTTTAATTGTGCTGATTATATTATGCTGTTGAAAACAATATAATGAAATAAAAAATAATTATCCTACACTTTCACTAACTTTATTTCTGCTTGGTTGTGCTGAAAGGATCGCATTAGATGTTGTTCCAACTGCCAAACTTACTAGTGTCAGATGGGATAATATATTTCTTCATAATATGTTGAACTTGTTCATCTTCATCTGCAGAAGAATGATGAACGTTCTGTTCCTCAAAATCAGGTAACAGAGATTCAAAAAACAAGGGAGTGATGTCATGGTTGCAGAAAGTTTTTGATAGAGTTTCCAACACTCTGTTATTTATTGTTAGATTGCCAGCCTCAAATAAAGCCTGTAAAAATAAACAGAAGACACAATGACAAAAAAGAAAGTAAATCAAAGAAGGTAATTAATGAACCCTTGGAATGGGTTTCTCACTGAGATCCAGAGAGCTCCCACTCTAACATCATTCAGGAAGGCCTTACAATCTGGCTGTTTTTCCCAGGTTCCTTAAAGTAGGATGGATGGCATCCCTTGTTATATACGTATATTATATGTTCGTATTTTGATGCTAGTGGTACTGATTTTCCATTTTGTTTATTTCTTTTATTGTATTTTTCATTTAATTTAATCTATTTGTATTTGTCATTTACATCAAGAGTCAAGTGCCAAGGTAAAGATAAATAGAGACATTAAAATTTACTTAGAATACAATACTTATATGGTACCATTTAACATTAGAAGCCAAAATGGGTTGAAAGTTGTTAGTACTAGGCTATATCTGTCTCTGGATCATGAAATTTACATCTTAATCTATTATACAAAAATATGTATGGATTAAAAAAATACAAGAATAACATCAAAGATTCTATAAATAAGCAATAGATAAATTCTTAATGAATGTGATCAAGACGGGATAAAAAATGTCAGTGAAAATGCACTAATTATAACTGTAGGCCAGAAATAACAAAATGAAATTTTAGAGATAAATGCCAAGCTCGTAAATTAAGTAACAGAAGCCACAGGTAAAATATCAGAGATGCTTAGAGGGCAAGAGAACCTGTGCAAAATATCTTGAAATTATTGATCATTACAAAACTTTGATATGATGAAACTGAAGTTGCATTATGATGTGACTTCAGAAAAGGCAACTACAGATTTATACTTCACGAGAAGAATCTACCTATATATACTATTAAAATTCTTGTATCTGTAACCATTAAGTGGATGAAACAGTGTCTAACAAAATTAACAGAGTTGGAAGGGACCTTGTAGGTCATCTACTTCAATCCCCCACCTAAGCAGGAGACCCTACACCATTTCTGACAAATGGCAGTCCAATCTCTTCTTCAAAGCCTCCAGTGATGAAGCTTCCACAACTTCCAAAGGAAAGCTGTTCCATTGGTTGATTGTTCTCACTGTCAGAAAATTTCTCCTTATTTCTAGGTTGAATCTCTTTTTGATGAGTTTCCATCCATTATTCCTTGTCTGGCTTTTGAGTGCCTTGGAAAATAGCTTGGCCTCTTCCTCTCTGTGGAAGCCCCTCAAATATTGGAAGACTGCTATCATGTCTCCCCTGGTCCTTCTCTTCACTAGACAAGCCATGCCTAATTCCTGTAACCGTTCTTCATATGTTTTAGTCTCCAGTCCCCTAATCATCCTGGTTGCTCTTCTCTGCACTTTTTTTTTGTTCTCCTTCAATGTGACATTGTGGCTTCTAGTCTCATAATAAGAATCCTTCCCATAATATGTTGGAACTGATTATTTGACTTCTATGCAAATTAAACATTTTCTAGATTTCTGATATTTTTCATCAGTTTTTTGTAATTCCAGCTTCTAAAAATTAACACATATTAAAAACAAACCTTAGAAAGTGGTGCATGTCTTGCCATCCTCAGCTTTTTCAGGGAATGAATTGCATCTAAGAGCGGATGAACATCTGATACAAGCTTCATCCTCAAGTGATCCAAGTCTCTCAGAACTTCTAATGCCTTATCCACAGGAATTTGAAATTCCTTAGGGAAAAGCATCTAGAGAAGCCCACAAAAAGCAACATCATAAACAGCAACTTTAGATTTTGCACTGAGATTTAGGGGTGTTAATTTGAGCATTGCATACTGCTAGATAAATAAAATCTCTACTTGAATATTAAATTTAAATATTCATATAATTCCAAATATTTCAATGAATATTATAGAATCACACATTAAAATATCTGCTACAAAGGAGTACATATACAGTTCAGCTATAGTCTTGGAAGCACAGCAAAAATTAATAGTGGCAACAATAACACAAAGACTTTGAGTAAAATCATAAACTAAATTTGTTTAAGATATTGTTTTTAAATGATTGGAACAATTACAAGTGTAATTGTTTTTCAAAATACATTATAGTTGTTTTTTTTCTATTATTATTATTTCACTGGAAGGTTTAAAAAATGTCAGAATAAAACCACCTCCATAGAATCTCAGTTCATTCTTTCAGGGATTGTTTCAGAGAGGAAGTGAAGAGATTTGATCCCTCCATCCACTACCAAAGCAATCACTGAAGAGAAATAGGCTTGGAGGCAGCACCTCAAACTACTATGTCCCCATCTTTTAAAATCTTCAATGATAAAATGTAGTTAACCATCTGCTGCACACCTCTGCTCAGCTAGATGAAGGGAGATCAGTGCCAGCATATATCCCAATGGGGGAATTAAGCACAGTCCTCCTTAGTCAAACCCAGCTCCTGGTAACTACAAGGACATGCCCATTCAATTTTTTAAGCAAAAATATGGAAATGATTCACCTCTGCCTCCTCCAACAAGTTTTTTCAACTTCCCAGTCTAGCTAATAGCTCTGAGATTTCCCAATGACCTTTCAGGGAAGTTTTAACCAGATTTAAATCAGATTAGCTTTTTTTGTGATTAGTCAAAGTCCACTAGGTGTTGCCACCTGCAATTATATAAGGGGAAAAATCAGGCTTAAATCTAATTAAATCCCTTTTAAAGCAAAATGCATTTGTATGTGTGTAGGAGTGTGACATTGAACCCACTTTATGTATTTCATAAATACAGAATAAATAGTCTGTTTTCTTCCCTCTGCTACTGTATATGAAACATACCGTATTTATCGGCGTATAACACGCACTTTTTCCCCCCTGAAAATAGGGGGCAAATGATGTATGCGTGTTATACGCCGATATAATGTTAAGAAGCCTTCGGTGAATGCTGCTGGGATCGGGGATCAAGGACACAAATGAAAGAAGGGGAGGGAGGAAGCAACCGAAGCCTGTCCTTCTCTCTGGGTCAGCTCTCTCAGTCGCTCTCTCGCTCCTCCACCAGCACAGGAAGAAACTGCTTCAAAGAAGCGGGGGGGGGGGGGCTTTTCCTGTCGCCGCAGCTTCCCTGAAGCGCCCGTTTCTCCCCCACCCCCACCCCGTCCGCCCGCCCGCCCGCCCGCAGTGCTCCGTTCTGCCTGCCTGCCTGCCTTCGTTAATGGTTGAATCGGAACAGCTTCGGCTGAGTAAAAGAGGCGAATAGTTATTATTCTCAGCCGAAGCTGCTCCCAAACAACCAGAAACTAAGGCAGGCAGGCAGGCAGGCAGAATGGGACACTGTGGATTGAAGCGCGCGCGCGGGGTGGGAGTGGGGGTGAAACGGGCGCTTCGGAATAGCTGCGGCGACAGGAAAAGCCCCCCCCCGCTTCTTTGAAGCAGTTTCTTCCTTGGATGGTGGAGCAGCGAGAGAGCGAAGCCTCCTTCTCTTCTCTTTTCCCCCCCCCCCGGTCCTTGCAAAAATTTTCTGCTTGAAACCGGTCCCTGGTACAAAAAAGGTTGGGGACCACTGATTTACCTTATAAGTGGTAATAATATTAATAAAAAAAAAGTTCTGAGCTACCCTTATTTTGCTTCAAAGTTTTTATTTAGAAATTTAATTTTTTTTCCTGAAATTTCCCTCTTAAAATGAAGATGCGTGTTATACGCCGATAAATACGGTACTTATTTTGCTAATAAATGCTACTATTTATTAACACCTTACTTTCACTTCAGCAGTTTATATGATGCTACTGGTGCTCCATAATTGTGTCTGGCATCTATGTATAGGAAAGTATCCTCGTCTACGCCAATTCCTTCCTTCCAAATAAAGCTGCTAAAGAGTCATCTCTAATTATAGAGTAAGGGGCGTGCATCAGTGCACCAAGTGCCTACTGTCCCTGTCCTATTGTTTCTTTTTATTTTTCTTATATGTATCCATTTCAGGTACTCATAATTACGTTTATACTTATACCTATTATCTTATAAGCGATTAACAAATCAAATAAATAATAAATAAATAAAATAAATTATACTCATAGTATTTTAGTTTCAATCATGTTGGACCACAGAGTTGCTCAAATTACATCTGGTCCCATTAAATTATATCCACCACCCATTAAAATTCCAATGTTGATCTTGTGGATCTTTCCCATTGTGCATAGAATGGCAAAGAAAACCAAACTCATGAAACAAACCTTGTAGATGAATTTGTAGACATCTAAGTAACGCAGAAATGTGATCCCCAAAAGATAAGACTTGTAAGCCCTTTCTGTAATGGAGAAGTTGCAGAATTGTTTTGCTATAATTTCCAGCTTAGCATCACCAATATCAGTATTACAGGACTCTAGCTTCAGTATTTGAAATACCAGCTGTATTGGCATGAAAAAAGCAGAATGGTAAATACTAGGCTCTCTCTTAACAAGGTTAAATTAAGCAGCTCTCTTTAAAATCACAGACCTAGATCACTTAACAAAGCAGCAGATAGATTCCAGTTGTTACAACAGGCAGCTTCTTAGCATCTTGTAAACAAAATCAGGAATCAAAGCACTCCAGGTTCGTGGGGCTTTAACTATTAATATAGTAATTTTTGTATCTTGCTATTTTATGATCAAGAACAATAACTTATTGATGAAGTGCAAACATATGCTATATTCATGTTTCCAATATTGTTGCCTGGCTTAACCCTTCCTTAGTTGAGTATGACCTAACACAGACTTTCTTTCCTCTTGTGAATACATCTATTTTTATTGCATGGTGACATAGATTATATGTGTTTACCAATGCAAAAACTTGCCCTGTATACTTTCCAAAAATAAAATCAGAAACATACAGCATGATCTATTATTCAGCCCACATTTAATGTTGTGTAGCTTTTTATAAACCTTTTTTAAACAGATTGATAAAAAATGTGAAAAGCAGAATTAAACCTTCTGGAAGGCCTCTGCTTTTTTTTTTTTTATGTGTAGCTTTCATCGGGGATATCATCTGACATTCAGCCAGTTTATTTTTAATGACTGTTTCAATAATTATCTTTATATCAATAGCACTGGGATTTAAATATTTTTTTCATCTATGTATCAGCATCACTTTTTTGCCTGCTGAATAGAATAGAATGCCAGACTACCGTAGCTGAAATGTTTTGATTTAGAAGAGAACTTACATTATTAAACAGATACACCAGTGAAAAAGATGAGTTATCCACTGTTATCAATCAGTCACACCTGATTTTTTTTACACAGATAAGCGTGTATGATATAATCTATGACAAGTCATCTAAGCATATAGTTATTATTCCCAAGATACTTACCTTTGTTTTGTTTTCTGAAAGAGGCATTTCTGTGAAAGCACTGATACTTTTGGTAGACAATCCTACAATATTTTTGAGATCATTCTTGAGGCCATCAGTATTTCGGAACAGATCTATGACCATATCTTTAAAAAATCACGGGACAAAAGTTTAAAATTAAAAAGTTTGTTTTCCTCCAGTTTTCATAAAATACTATAAACAGAACACTTAAAAGATGATTTGCAAAAGAAAAGTGCCTTATGTTAGAAAGTAATAAAGTGAATAAGAAAATATTCAAAACGTTTATTCCCCTATTTAAAATTAATTTGTATTTTTATCTCAAAGAGAAGCTTGAGCCACATACATTTTCAATTATTTGCTACTCACATTTAGGTAGTATTTTGTTAAAATAAAAAAAATCTGATTATATAAAAACAACTATTTTCATACTTCTTCAATTTCATCTGACTCTTTCATTGCAGAAGCCTAAGAAATACATTCTTAAAATGAAATTAAATTCCCTTCTTGGTTAAATCTAATCAACTCAAATTAAAATTCAAAAACTGTTATTTTGTCATCAGCAAGTTGAGAAATCCCTATTAATTCAGACAGTATTATTAGTCAGTAACTGTATTTTCTGAATAGATATGGACAGCTCATTTAAATCTCTTTAGAACAGCAATTTATTTCCCTTTGGGATTTGTGGTGGAGATAGGTTGCCCTCAAGTCAGCCTTGACTCCTAATGACCACACTGAACAAGTCCATGAAGATTTTTTGGCAATGTTAAAGGAAATAGGCAGAAAACTGTAATAAAAATATCTATCCATACATAATTGCTGAAAGCAAAGATTACCTTGTTTTCTGGAATGTGGTGTAATCTTAGTGATATTCATTATTGAAGTCAAAGAAGAAATATACTTCAAGTTATCACGGAAATATTTAAGTTGAGGGACATTTTCTTGTAACCTTTTTGAAGAAAAGAAAAGGAGTAAGTATTGGCCCTGTCAAATAGATACTTGCTACAGATTATATGCAAAGAATCTTACCACTTAATGTGTTGCTGAAGCTTTTGGGGATTCCCAACAATTATTTCCTGAAATTCTTGGAAGAGTCTTCTGTGGCTAATTAAATTGGACAGTGCACTATCACTTTGGCTTCTACTATGAAGAAGCTTCTTGTGGAATTCACTTTGACTGCACAACTCAGCAAAACTAACATCAGCAAGCTGGCATGTTTGCTGCAACCATCTAATACTCTCGAAATCACAAAGGAGTGATGTTAGGTTTTGCAGATGGGTTAGCTTTAAACAATCAAAACAGAGACAAAATTAATCACAAATGAATAATAGAAAGCAATGAAAAGAACCTACCCAATATTGAACGGAAATACTCTTTCATGACAATGATGGAAGTTTTTGCATATAATCAGGATTGGTTTCTAGGTCTAAGCGAGTAAGGCAGTTGCCCAGAGTTCCAGATTTTAGGGGACACTAAAATTGAAAAGACTTCCAAAATACATAATATGAGTATAAAATATAATAAGCTTTCCCTCTTGCTTTAGAACTTCTACACTTTTTGATATACTTATTCACAAAGTCACCAGAATGATGGTGAGCAGCACACTAACCAAATGTTGAAGAAAATATATTATAGCTATGGACCTCAGAAACCTGATAATATTACTGGAGCAAGACAAAGGTCTGCCAGGAAAATCCAGAGCTGAAAATCATAACAGTAAAGCTAAAAAAAAAAAAAAAAAATCAAAGGAAAAAAAGGAACACGAGGATGCTTTTTAAAATTCCTAACAAAATCGGAACATGAACCAAAAAGGAGGGGGTATTAGAATATGATTTTATCTAGCACCTAATGACTAGAGCTGGTCCTGATATAATATAGGGTGAAAAACTGGTTTCTTCTAGCTCCAAAAAGCAAGTTCAGACCCTTTTCAATTCTGCTCCAAACTGCGCTTAGTGCAGGACTTCAGAGGCATAGCTGAAGAAACAAGGGGAGGGAAAATTTGGAGTAGAGAATGAGCTGGAAGGGTACACTTCTCTGTCCATTTCCCTAGCAACGCTGCTCTACAAAAAAACAGCTAGCTAAGCTTCAAAAACTTGTTAATATTAATTTCATATTATCATTGGTATTTTTCACATCCATACCATACTTACTTTTAACATCAGAATCTCTGGAACTGTGGCAAAAGGACTTCGAGAATTAAAAAGAACTTCTTTTAGCTCTCTTATTTTTGGAGGAAGAGTACCATTTCCTGTAAGAAACAACACCTTCTTGTCTTTTGTAATACATTTTATAGATTTCCACAATCTCTGCAGGTATTTTGAAAACCACTGAAACTTAAAGCAATGTTGTTCCAGCAAGTGTTTGTCTTCTAGATTAATTTATTGAATGGCAATGGAGATATATTTGATTTCTGTAGTTTAAAATAGTTGTAAGTGAAAGAATTCTACCCAGAATTCAGGGGGAAATTATATTTAACCATCATGAGCTGAATCCAGCCTTAAAAGAAGGATGTCGGAATCATGCACACTAAACAATACTGCAGACCACTCTTTTCTTTATTACTCCATTTCATGTTTCAGCTCTTTTCAAGCACAAATAAAAACAATGTCTGTATTGACCATTCATTCCAAAGAACATTCTAAGGTTCATCCAGGGAATAAACTTTCAAACCAGTACTCCATCAAATGTTTGTATCAACTTTAGGATGTTATTTGTTTCATCAAATAGCTTTTCCTTTGAATGAACATCAGAACATATTTTATTTTTTTAGGTTTAAGCTAGAATCACTCTCACAAAATAAAAGGCCTGAATGTAAAGCATTTCAAATTCATCTGTGTTAACTAAAATAAAGAATGTTTCTCTTTGCAAGTTTTCAGTTCATCATCCTAGGTATCAACCAAGTATCTTCTTTAAATCTATGATGTTCTGAATAGTGCAGTCTTTGTCAGCTCAGCTGGTGCCACAGCAGGAAGCTGCAACTTCTTGATGTATTTTGCAAAATTCTTAGATGCCAAGTGCTCTGATGACAATGCATATCACTGTTACATGTTGTTGTTGCTGTTATTGTTGTTGTTGTTATTTGATCTATCACTATTGTTGTATGTATACTGAGAGCTTATGAACTGGAGACAAATTCCTTGTGTGTCTAATCACACTTGGCCAATAAAGAATTCTGATTCTAATTCTAATATACTACAGTTACATTAAGCCTTGTGCTACTATTGATTTTAATGAAGTGTAAACAGCTGTCAGCTATGGAATTCATCGCTGCCACACAGTTGAAGAATGTGGGAGGGGGTGATGTAAATTGAGTAGCTCTTAGTAGACAAAATATATTATTTTGATAGTTTAAGGTTACAGAGTGAGGCGCAGAGAAGAATAAAACTTACTGTGGGATTGGTGCACGTGATCTGGTGATGAGGGAAAAAAGGTGGGGGTTGTAGCTTGGGACTGTGTGGGGAAGTCGGGAAAAAATCAGTTCTGGACTTCCCCAGTATGTGCCAGGTACTGTTCCAATAAAGGTGTTTTGAGATGGCATGTGTCTTGGAGTTACTGGAAGGAATGGATTTTCTCTGGAACGCTGACAACAGCAGGTGCATGTTTATTAAATGCTGGGGGAACAGACCCAGTAGGATTCTTCTTGATCAGGCTTCCTGGCTTTTATCTGGGTATGAATTGCCATCAGTATCACCACAGAGCACCTAGTTGCTATTAAACTCTTTCACAAGGTGAAGATTTAAAAACAAATATATTGCATGCTATTATGGAAGTATGTGTTACCTGATAATTCATCGTCTGGCCCTTGAAACACATTCATTATGCAAATGAAATAGGATGAGAAGTTACTATTATGAGATGTTTTTAGGAAGACATTTTCAAATTCTGAAAACAGAAACCTGGGACAAAACAGAACAAAACAGTCTCATGTAAAGTCACACACATTAAAGAATGGTTTGCAATTAAAAGAAAGTCTTCAATTTACCTAGAGCAGCACTAAGCCAATTCAATTCAGAAAATGTACCCAAATGTTCCTTTATAGGAGTTAACAGATCCTAAATAAGAAGAGTTCTACTTCTGTCGGTTGACTTATATCACTGAATACTTTAGATATAATTAACAAAATACCAAGATGATCTATCATTTTTCTAATTTCAAACTAGATTTGGGCTAAAAAAAACCACCAATCAATAAGATTCTCCCAAGTCTTTCCAAATGAATAACTTAGACTTTAGTTTAAAATTTTCCTCCCAATTTTAATAACAAACCAAATGAACAGATCTGAAAATCCACTGAGAGCTGTGTTACACAACCCTAGAGATCAGTTCTAGAGATTAGATTTTCTTCAGAGTGAGAAACTTGATTTTAACTTTAAAATTGCAGATTAATCCTGAAGTTATTGAGTTTTGTTTAATAAATCTTTAAGACTGGATCGTTGAAATTATTTTAATTGGAATTTAAAAAATTAATTACTTTAATTAATTAATTTAATTTTAATTGAAACTAAGATGCCCGATGTCTGTCATGAAGAGGTCTTAGGATGACACTGGGACTGCTGTGGCAGGTGCTTGGTAGCATAGACTATACAGATGCGCTTTTTAGTGCAAGGGTCAGAGGGGCCTGCCATTGCCATGAAGCAAGAGCAGAAGTAGGCAACTGAGGACTACAAACAGTGCTGCTGTTGGTGTCAGAGGGCATGTGGGGCCAGCCATATGCTGGTCTGCCCCACTTAGGCCACGTGCCTGTCTTTGCCCTGCATAGAACTCATCTGCACAGTCCAGAACCCCAAGAAGCTAAACACACTGGAGGAACTGGAGGTGGTGAGCAAGAGCTATGGAGCTGAGATTGGGTCAGGAGTGCCTAATTACCATCCAGTTCATGACCATCATGCCCCACTGCTCAATGGGCTACACTCATCAATCTGGGTTTGAGAATGAAACTTCAGAGTGGTTTACTTTTCAAGCACACGCTGGAAATCTACATATTAGAGGGGGCACATCCTATTGAAGAACACATCAACGAACAAATCAATAATAAAGACAAAGTTGCAGCAGTAATGGAGAATCCCAGTTTGCAGGAGCCTGTAGTGTACACCAAGGTGGACTGGAGCCCAAAAGACTTGGACTATATCTGGCACCTTTGTATCAACTTCTTTATAGCATTATCTTGAATTTAACAGTAAAAAATATTCATATCACTTAACATTTTTAAAGCAGAGGTGGGGAATGATGGCCCCTTTATAACTTACGGACTTCAACTCCAAGAATTCCTGAACCAGCATGGCTGGCCCAGGAATTCTGGGAGTTGAAGTCTGTAAGTCATAAAAGGCCCATTGTTTCCCACCCTTGTTTTAAAGAATTATTTTGAAAGCATCCAATAAAACATAGAAAGAGTGGCTACAGGAATTGGATATACCTAGTCTAGTCTAATAAAAAGAAGGACTAGAGGAGACATGATGGCAATGTTCCAATATTTGAGGGGCTCCTACAAAGACAAGGGGTCCAAATTATTTTCCAAAGCACCAAAAGGCAAGAGAAGAAACAATGGTTGGAAACTAACCAAGAAGAGAAGCAACCTGGAACTAAGGAGAAACTTCTTAACAGTGACAAGACAATTAACCAGTGGAACAGCTTACCATCAGAAGTTGTAGGTGCTCCATCACTGGAGGCTTTCAAAAAGAGACTGGATAACCATTTGTCAGAATTCAATTCAGCAGTGAGAAAAGTAAGGTTTTACACTTAGGCAAGAAAAACCAAATGCACAAATATAAAATAAGTGTCTCAACAACAGTAACAGTGAAAGGGATCTAGATGACTTAATGGACAACCACTTAGATATGAGCCAGCAGTGTGCTACAGCTGCCAAAAAAAGCAAATGCAATCCTAACATGTATCAACAGAAGATGAGTATCAAGATCATGTGAAGTGTTAGTACTGCTTTCACTGCATAGTAAGACCACACTGTTCTGTCCAGTTCTGGTCACCATAATACAAAAAAGATGCTGAAGCCCTAGAAATAATGCAAGATAATTAGGAGTCTGGAGCTAAACCGTACGATAAATTGGGTATGTCTGGTCTAGTAAAGGAGTGACATGATAGTAGCCTTCCAATACTTGCGGGATTGTCACAGAGAAGACAGGGTCAACTATTTTCAAAAGCAGTTGAAGGCAGGACAAGAAGTATTGGGTAAAAGATCCTTAAAGAGAGATTCAACTTAGAAGTAAGGAGAAATTTTCTAATGGTGAAAACAATGAATCAGGGGAAGGGCTTGCCTTCAGAAATTGTGAGTGTTCCATCACTGGAAGTTCTCAAAAAGAGATTGGACAACAACTTAGCCAGAAGGGTATAAGGTCTCCTGCTTGAGCAGAGTGTTGGATTAGCTAAATATGAGTCAGCAGTGTGCAGCAGCAGCCAAAAAAGCCAATACAATCCTAAATTGCATTAACAGAGGGATACAATCAAGATCAAGTGAGGTACTAATGCTACTCTAAAAGTCTTAACATGACCACATCTAGAATACTGCAACCAGTTTGGGTCACCACACTATAAAAAAGATGTTGACTCTAGAAAAAGTGCAGAGAAGACCAACCAGGATGATTAGGGGACTGGAGACTAAAACATATGAAGAACGGTTACAGGAACTGGGCCTGGCTAGTCTAGTGAAGAGAAGGACCAGGGGAGACATGATAGCAGTCTTCCAATATTTGAGGGGCTGCCACAGAGAGGAAGGGGTCAAGCTATTTTCCAAGGCACTCAAAAGCCAGACAAGGAATAATGGGTGGAAACTGATCAAGAAGAGATTCAACCTAGAAATAAGGAGAAATTTTCTGACAGTGAGAACAATCAACCAATGGAACAACTTGCCTTCAGAAGTTGTGGGAGCTTCACCACTGGATGCTTTGAAGAAGAGATTGGACTGTTGTTTTTGTCAGAAATGGTGTAGGGTCTCCTGTTTGGGCAGAGGTTGGACTAGATGACCTCCAAAGTCCCTTCCAACTCTGTTAATCTGACAACATTTTAACTCTCCTTTCCCTACCTGTAGTCATTTCCTCTCCCCTTTAACTAAATTTTTATAAAATGTGTGCAGATTGAGTGGCAAGGAGGGAGAATGCTACCTTTGGACTAGATGACCTCCAAGGTTCCTTCCAACTCTGTTATTCTATGATCTAACTCAAAACAAAGAGGAAATAGAACAATTTCTATTTGATCAGAAAATGAATTTTGACAATTATGTGAGATACTCAAGTGTACCAGTATATATGAACACTCTCTGCTCTGTAGTAAAGTCATCCTGTCAATAATGCATAAATATACATTTTAAAAAAGAATTATGAACCAGACATCAATAATTCTGCCCTGCCGGAATCCTGACATCTGCATCATTCTGAACATTTTATACAATATTATTTCTCATGTCAACTTCATCTCAAAAATGTTTCTTTTCTCCTGAAAAGAAGAGAATGAATTTCTCTTCATTCAACTAATTATGAAACACATTACTTACTGTGCAATCAAATTGCTTGGAGATTGCGCTTGTTCCCATTCCTTCCAAAATGTCTTGTTTAGAACTGTTTCTGCAATCATCAGAAAAGGGTGCCTAATACGATCAAATTTATATTGCAGCTTAGTTCTTTTTGACAGAAAATTTGGATCTGGATTTGCTTTAAACTCCTTTAGCGAATCCAAATGATTTAAAATAGAAATACTGACATTAAATATTTCTGGAACTGATTTGTTGTTATCCAGAACTTTCTCCATCATTTCAAAGCCATATCTTGCATTCTCAGTTTCTGTATGGTACCATTTGGACAACATAGCCCAAATCTGTGAAAAATTGCTTTTAGATGGAATAGAGATTTCATCTTCATTTTTTTGTGTGGCTTCATTCAGAGGAATGTTCAAATATGTAGAATCTTGAAGCTGCTTAAAGAGTATTGCTAACTCACTCCAGTCTATTAATTTGTCAATGAAATTTTGTATATAATATTCTGTTTCATAACCTGAAAACAGCAAGGGAATTTTTGAAGGGTTATAAGTAACATCATTTATACCATCAAGAACTGGGATGAAACAAGTTGAATTAATTAATGGTAATTGTTTGGAAATTTTTGCTAAAGTTGCATACATCTCCTGTATCCAAGGATGTTGGAAGTCAAAGAGTATATTCATTTTCAAAAGCAAGCCAGAAGAAAATTGTAGTGATTTGATGATGCATAATAAATCATTTGAAAAATGCACATTATTTTTTTGGTAAAGATTTGTTAATTTTGTCTGCTGGAAATTTTTTATGGAGAAAAGGAAGAAGTCAATAAATGTTTGGTTTGTTCTCTTTTCAAAATCCATAGAAGAGAAAAGCAGTTCACAATGGTTTTGGTTATGTACTTCAGAGAGAGTGGTATTTCTAAACAGCATTTGAAAAATTATGTGAATTATATCTTGAGCATTGCAATTATGTGGCTCTCCCATTTTGTTGGTCCAACTATGTAATAATGGACTTAGAGTTAAATATAAGATATCCACTGTTTTTGTTTCATTTCTATCCCCTAAGAAAGATTCACTGAACTCCTTTTGAAACAGAAATTGTGAAAAACCATACAAGGTGGCAATTTTTCCTTTCTCAGTTTCTTCCAATTTGCTGTCAGAAAGTATCATTGCTCCTTGATTCAATATGTCATAAATATTTTCAAAGATTTTGTGGCTATTATTAGCCAATGGGAGGATGGTTTCTAATTGACTGATGATAAATTGACGCACAAACCTTTGCTGAAATAACAGCTTCCTAACAGCAATATTAATTTGTTCTGAAGTGTTAATATGTGGGTTTTCTTCATTATATTTTGGTAGTACATAGGATAAAAGTTGAGTTAACCCTTGCAGTTCTGAGTTAAAATGAAGGTCAGAAGCATTATTCAGTAAAGAAAAATGTTTATATAATGTACTTAAAAAAAGTGAGCTATACATTACAGGCCGTAGTTCTCTATGAATATTTACAAAGGCCTTCAACTCATTTGACCAGGATTTTTTAGCGGTATTTTGGATTCTTTGTACTAATTGTGAAATCAGATTTACATTTGTTTTACTATGATAGTTATTCTGAGGGGTGAGGAATGGTTTCAGAATGTCTTTTATTACTGAAGATTTAAGAAAAAAATCTGAAGATGTCAAAGGAATTTCTTCTTTTGAATTAAAAGCCCGTGGTATTTCCACTGGAAATTGGGTAGTTGCTATAGATATTACCTTGTGGATAGTTTTCCATATCATTGTAAATTTTAAGTTGATCCAATTTAAAAACAATTCATTCAACATTCTTGTAGTTTTGTTTAATATGTGTTTGATTTGTTCTGGAGAAGGATTATTGTAGAAAAGTCTTTGAAAAAGAGCATCGTTAGGTGATAAAAAAGTATTCATATTTTTTCTAAAATAAGTTTTATAATCTATGCCAGAACTGGAATTTAGGAACAATCTGAACATATCTAATACCTCTTCTAAAGAGGAAACTTTCATGCCCCAGCTTAAAGTTTCAAGAAACTTGTATGTTTCTTTTTCCTTGTTGGCTAATCCAATGCCAACAAGAATTACTGCTTTTCTGGACATTTCTAGCAGTTGAATATACTGCTTTGTATTTGTCACATTCTGTTTCGAGTGCAATATTTCTGCGGTCTCGCTCAAGATCTCTGAAAAATTATTCCATTTTGATTGATGAACACTTTTGCTCATTTGTAAAATCTTTGCTACAATCTTTTGATGTTTATTATGTAGCAAAAAAGAAGGCACAAATGTTTGATTCCAAAATGATGGTCTATCCAGGATATTTTTAATATCTGGTACTGTTTCTTTAAAAATAAAAGGACTCTGAATGTATAAAGCAGAAATTTTGTCAATTATATTGTTAAGCAATGGTTCTCTGCAAGTCAGATTATGTTGAGACAGATCAAGAGAAAAGGCATTTAGATTTTTATCAATCTTTTCTATCCAGGAATTCTGGTGTTTATGGAGTCCAATTAATTTAGACAGAAAACTGGATGAAACTTCTAATAATCTGATGAGACACTGAAATTCACCTGGGAAGTGTTTCCTTTTGTTTCCCTGGATTATTTCAAAAAGTGATGCTGGTTTGAGACTTTTTGTTGTAAGCTGAAACAATTGGGTAAACATATAATGATAGGTTGTTTGGTTTTCAAAATCCAGAGAAGAGAAACGAAAATTACATTTTCTTTTACTTAAGGCTTCCTTTAGTGTGGCATTATTGAAAAACACTTCAATTGTAATGAGGTGGAAATCTTTGACAGTGCAGTCTGAGAGGCTGTTGTCAGCCTGAATGTTTTCCATTTGAAGAAGGCTTGGTGCTAAATACAAGAGTTGCAACATTTTTGCTTGCATTGAAGAATTATGCCACACTGGAGTCATATATAAATCCAGTAAAGATAATGCTTGTGAAAATCTGAGAAGGGAATCTGTTTTGTTAATATTAAATGCTTCTGTCTGACTGGGATCAGAAAGTATCTCTATACCCTTCATAATTAACTGAAATAATTTCTGTACAGTTTCGTTGTTGGTATTCATTAGTGGATTAACAATAAAGAATTCGCTGATGTACTTTTTCTCCAGGTCCTCTAACACTTGTAAACTTTTCAAAATAGTATTTAAAACCATCGAAACATTTGTTCCCTTGATGCTCCCTGCATCATATTTTTTCAATAAGTGATTTACAAATTTAATCATTTGCTCTAGTTCTTTCTTCAAAGGAAGTCCAAAATTATCATGGTTGACATACAGATTGTCATGTAATGTATCTAAAATCTGTCTATATATAAGGATGTCTGTATCACTCCATTTTGCAGACCTCAGTTTTTCAACAATGTGCCAATAAATGTTGAATTCATTCCACTGAGATTCATTAATGGAATTTTGGATTTTCTGCATCAGATTGGTCAGGGAAGAGATCAATAGGTAGTTATGATTAGTCCTGCTATTTGTTATGACACTAAAGATTTTCTGAAGTTCCAAAAGCTTCTCAGGAAAATTGTCAGTTGTTGCAGGCTTAAGCAGAAGGTTTACTAATGATGGCACTTCTTCCACTGAAGTTAAGTATTTTCTATATTTTTCAGGCAGGAAAAAGAATTTGAGGACAGTACTCATTTTAACAGTTTGCCATGCCTTTCTGGCTTTAAAAATAATATTATTTAAAAATGCGATATCCCTGATGCTCCTGTTTAAATTGTGGATATTTTGAGTTTCTTTTAAATCAAATAATGGCATTTTCTTCAAGCTATTCTGAGATTTTGTATTTCTTTTGAAATCCTTTAAAAAATGGCCAGTCTTAAGCTCTTCATCAGCAAAATCAAGACCTAAAAGATTCCTGTAATAAAAAGATACAGAGTGCATCATTTATAACAGAACAAAGCAAATGAAAATGCCATGAAATGCCATGAAATTTGTTTCCCCTTTCCAATAGTGTTTTTATAACTTGTCTTCCCACTGACCTCTTCCATACACCTTGCTTACTTCTATTTTTAACAAATCATATTTTGCTATTAAACATTATGCTTATGCTTATGACTGATTTTAAATAAGATTCCAATCAAACATGAAGAATTCCAGATATGGTTTTTCATGGTTTCTGACCCAGTTTTTTGTCTTCTTCCAAGGCACTCCCGCCATTTTAGTTCCCAAATTCCTCTTTTCTAGCCAAACCTCTCTTTAAACTATAAAAAATTTAAAACTCTGTTAATAGCTTTTATTAATGTCAGTGGATGTTTCTTAAATGCTTACAGTACTGTACTGCAAAAGATATGATTGCTGATCTATAGGAGAGAGTTAATCTGTTTCTTCCTACTGCTTCAATCAGGGTGAAAACAGTAGCTCGCATGGGAGCATTTTCAGCAGCTCCACATTCAATTGAAATATGGCAGTTCAAATTTCATGCATATTCTGTTGAATTATATTTTATAAAGTGTATTATCATATGCTAAAGTCATACATAAATTTAGTTTATAAATAAAAAAGTACATTAAAAATAATGGCACTCATTTTTGGATAGACACATATAGTTCTTCTGTTGATGTTGTGTGAATACTGGCTTTTACATGTGTATACAGGCCAGTGGTTTTTACTACCGGTTCTGTAGGTGTGGCTTGGTAGGCGTGAGAGGGGAAGGATACCGTAAAATCTCCAGTCAAAGGTGGTATTTGCCGGTTCAACAAACTACTCAAAATTTCCACTACCGGTTCTCCAGAACTGGTCAGAACCTGCTGAATATCACCTCTGATACAGGTAATCCTCAAAGTACAATAGATCATTTATTGTCCGTTCAAAGTTACAACAGACCCCCCCACACCAAAAAAAAAACCTATACACAACAACCCTGTTTCAAAGTTCCAAATTCTACAGGACCAACCCTTACGAATGATTGGGTTCTATAGAATTCTTAACCTTGCAGAGACACTGCAGCACATCCAACATATCTAGTTCCTTCTCCATCCTGCCTTAACAGGTTTTCAAACAAAGACACTTTGTCTCCCCACCAAATTCCAAATGGCTCTCTTCCACCCCTCACAATCCCACACTTAGCTTCTGAAGATTAGCACAACTCAGGAGGCTGCGAAGGAGGAGGTCACATGGGAGGATTCCAGCAGCCTCCTTTTCAGCCTGTTGTGAAATCTACACAACACCCAAAGTAGCTGCATTGTTCTCAGCCAAATAAGGTTACAAAATGCAGTCTTTTCTATCCAGCATGAGGAGGAAAAATGTTCATGCTTTGTGGAATAACTCAGCAAAGCAACTTCTTTCTTTCAAAGTGGTAGAATGTTACACTGGTGTTCAGGGAGCTAAGGAATTCTAGGAATCCCTAGCTCCTTAAACAACAGTGTTCTTCTCTACTCCAACTTCCTGAATTCTGGATATCTTTAAAAGGTAAGTGTGCATTAGTGGTGGGGTGGAGTATAGAGGAGGCCCTTAGGGTTTTGGGGAACCCAGGATACAAGGGGAGAGCGTGGGATATCTCAGAGGCCTCCTTGGTGTGCTTGTGCCTGGACTAAGCCTCCCATTGTTTGCCCCACCCCTGAGTCACATTATGCTCTACCTAATGGCCTGTGCATTAATTAAACAAATGCTTTAGGAAAGCAGGGACAGGGAGGTAGTTAATTATGTACTTTATTTAATGTAATACTTGATTTATCATCGGGCTCCAGCTACCAGCCCTGGACGACATGTTCACATCTCGCTGTTTGAGGAAGTTGCACAACATTCTCAGAGACTTTTCCCATCCTGCTTACAATTTTATAAACTGTTGCCTTCTGGCAGAAGAGACAGAACAATTAAAACTCGGACCACACATTTTCTGAATAGCTTTTATCCTATAATTGCACTTAACAATGAACTTAAGGACCACCATCAGTGAACTATTGGATAGTATTACTTGGTCTGTTGTGTGGATGCTTGTGTGTTTTTAGGAGGCGGGGAATTTTTGGCAGGTGGGGTGGTGGTTGGGGATTGTCATTTGTGTGTGCATGTTGGGTCTGGTCTCTGGGTGTTATGTGAATTTCGTTGTATGTATACTGTGTATATACGTACAATGACAATAAAGAATTCAATGATTTCCAATATGAATGGTCAGGCTCCATTATTATCGTAAGTTGAGGATTATCTGTATTTCAGTCAAATACTGATATATATTTTATACCTGCTTTCTTAACAATATAAGAGGAACTAGAGAAATACTCAAATGATTGGAAGAAAACAGAGTAGTTTCTCCATTCCTTTTGAAGTAACACTTTATAGCAACAGAAAGAATAACTTTGCATAACTCAGAACTCACCTTAAAACTACTTTCATTCTGTCAAATAAAATCGGAATCTTTTTCGAGAAATCAGGTTGTTCACAAATGTAATTTACTGCCAAATTATTTTTATCTACAAAAACAAGCCAACAAATAAACGAATTAAATTACTAATTTTAATTATTATCTTTCAATTGTGAGAGGGTACTATTATTTTGTTACATCCCTGAGTCACATTATGCTCTCTGCCTGTAAAATAATAGCATTGAAAAAAACCTATAAATGCCCCTCTGAGGTTTTTTTTTTATGGTTTTCCAGAGAGTACAAAGCATGTATTCCACCTTAAGCTGATTTATATTTGTCTTCAGGGTTGTTTCAGATCATTATGAGGTATCTGTTTGCCTATTTAGAAATCTAGATAGATAAATTGGGACTGGCACATCACTGCCGGTGTTCATCAGGAAGAATGAATGAAGGGAACTGTTTTCAAATTTAACAGAGTAATATTTAAAATTAGAATCTTATACATTGGCTGCAATATTTATAGCAATGTCAGCATTTCTTTTGCTGAATAATGTTTTGGGGAAGTTTTTGGGAAGAACCATATTCAATTAACTATGTAAGACAGGGGTCCCCAACCACCGGTCCGCGGACCGGTATCGGTCCGTGGAACAAGTCCTACCGGGCCGCTGGTTTGCTGGGCGCCGCCATCTTTTTTTCATGAAAAAGTGCCTCCGGTGAGCTTTTCCGGGTAGAAAGCTCACCGGAAGCACTTTTTCATCAAAAAAAGATGGCGGCGCCCAGCTAATGCCGTTACCGGGCCGCGCCATAAAAAAGGTTGGGGATACCGGGCCGCGGCATAAGAAAGGTTGGGGATCACTGATGTAAGAGACTTGAAGCAAGAACATTTAGTAATACAAGGATTTGGATCAACCTACAGGAGTTTCCATTTCATTTCACTGACTCATCCCACCTACATAAGTAGAGAAGGTATGTTGTGGATCCCGTCACTTGAAGAAATTCAACTGGTGGAGTCTAAGAAGAGACCCTTCTCTGCCAGTGTTTCCTGCCCTGTGGAACACCTTGTCCCAGAGACCAGATAGGTCTCCACTCTCCTAGCCTTTTAGAAGAGCTTCAAGGTTTGGCTCTGCCAATTGGCATGAGGGTCTATCATGCAAGCACGAGGGGGGAGGGTTGGTGGTTTGAAGGTACTTCCCTCCATCTAGTAACATTTCAATAGTTCCATTTAACTCTTTTCAATTTAGCTTTTAATTTTGTTCTTAAATATTTATTTTATGGCTTTTATATAATTTTATTTTACTTGCAAACCATCCAGAGTCAACCAAGTGTGATGGGGGATATGGAAATTTGATAACTAAAATAAATGAATAAATGACCTAAGTAACTTAGGTCTCTGATAAGGTACAATAAATGGACTAGTCTCACCTTGTTCTGAACAGTTCAAAGTAGATAGCCAGCTGGTCATATTTAAAATCATTTGGTGACTCTTATCCCTCTTCGTAAATAGCCTTTAAAACAAGAAAAGAAAAGTCTGATGATGCAATGAAATCAGGAATGAGCCAATTCTGGCTCATAGCAGTTTTCCATGTAAGGGACATGCTCAGCTCTTTTATGATATGCACTTTTTAAAAGTGTTTGAACAATGTCTCCGAAAAAATCCTGAAAGAACTAGAATTCATAGCCGCAGGGAAAAAACCTCCACTCACATTAAATTTATAACCAGTCCCATGCTCCATTTTTAACCTTTTTCAGCTATAAATAAAATGTTACTGTACCATGAAAGACCCAGAAGGGACTGGTTTAAAAGCAGCTTTCTCACCAGTGGCTTTCTCATATAACGCAACACCAGTGAAATTGTATGTGAAAAGGCTTTTGGGGAAATGTTGCAGAATGTATTAATTTGTTTCTCATATTTATTTCAGTGATTCTCTTCCACATGCTTCTTTCTTCTTTTCAACACTGTGGGTGGGGTGGGGGGCGGTTCTTCAGGCAGTTGAGGAGTCAGTACTGACTTGAACACACACACTCACAATAAAAAGAATTTGACAGTATGGGAGCTATCAAAGAAATGAATTTCTTCTAACCATTACCTAAGGCATTTTAGGAAAAGAAAATGGCAGCTGCTAGGAGATAGCCGCTAGTGAAACCATGCCACCAAAAGCTAACTGCCTCCATTTAAAAAAAAAAAAGGGGGGGGGGTAATGAAAACAAGGGCAACTGCAATCATTTGATTCAATGTTCCATTCATTATAAAGTGGAGGCATATTTCTTCATAAATATAATAATGCAGGCCTTTTTTGCTGCCAAATTTAATTTCACCATACATTAAAAAATCATAATGGTGGTCTATAAATTTACTACAAAATGATCAAATTTTTCCACCTTACTTTAATTTCATATGGAAGTAATCACCATCCATTGTGGAATAATTGGACACAAATTGATGTTTAGAAGGGGGGAAAAAGCCCTTAAATTATCTCAGTTCATCAAAACTGGGTTCATTTGTGTAACAGTCAAAAAGTACTGTTAGTGAAATCCTGTGTACAACAGTTTCTAGCTTCCATCTGTTTTACCTTTTCCTGCTGTGAAGAGTATCAGCCATGTCTCTCACTGTGGTGGCACCATGAATTATATCTGGAGTCATCAGGAGGAGGTTCCATATAGAAGTTTCATTCTGTACTTGGGAGATGAGTGATAAAAATGATCCAGCTTCCTGGACAAAAGCCATCTGGTAAGAAGGATCCTTCTGTAACTGGAAAGAGAAGCAAAAGAACATCTTTTAAAATTTATTTATTTATTTATTTATTTGATTTGCCAATTGTTTACAAGATAATAAATATAAGTGTATACATAGTTGTGAATACATGATATGGGTACATATAAGAAAAATAAAAGAAGAATAAGAGAAACAATAGGACAGGGACGGTAGGCACGTTGGTGCGCTTATGCACGCCCCCTACAGACCTCTTAGGAAAGGGGTGAGGTCAATAGTAGACAGTCTAAGGTTAAAGTTTTTGTGGTTTGGGGAAGAAACTACAGAGTCGGGTAGAGTATTCCAGACATTGACCACTCTATTGCTGAAGTCGTATTTCCTGCAATCAAGTTTGGTGCGGTTAACTTTGAGTTTGTATCTATTGTGTGCTCTTGTGTTGTTATGGTTGAAGCTGAAGTATTCATTGACAGGTAGGACATTGCAATGTATGATTTTATATACCATGCTTAAGTCAGACCGAAGACGGCGTAATTCAAGGTTTTCTAGTTCTAGAATTTCAAGTCTGGTGGCATAAGGTATTCTACAACGAGTAGAAGAGTGGAGAACTCTCCTTGTGAAATATTTCTGGACTTTCTCAATTGTGCTAATATCAGATACGTAATGAGGGTTCCAGACTGATGAACTGTATTCGAGTATTGGTCTAGCAAATGTTTTGTATGCTCTGGTTAGTAGTGTGATATTACCAGAGAAAAAGCTATGTAGGATTAGGTTAACAACTCTTAATGCCTTTTTGGCTATGTAGTTGCAGTGGGCTCTAGCACTTAGATCATTAGAGGTGAGTATTCCAAGGTCCTTTACAGAGCTTGGGTCATCAACAAGATCTTGACTATTCAGCTTGTATTTTATTTTCTGATTTTTTTTGCCAATATGTAAGACAGAGCATTTATTTGTTGAGATTTGAAGTTGCCATTTGTTTGACCATTCAGATACATAGTCAAGATCTTTTTGTAGGGTAGCAGTATTGTCTGTGGTATTGAACAGCTTTACATCATCAGCGAAGAGAACGCAATTGCTCTTAATATGATCACAGAGGTCATTTATGTAGAGTATGAAGAGAGTTGGTCCTAGAACACTGCCCTGGGGGACACCACTATTGACAGGTACTGGATTTGATAGGACGCTCCCGATTTTGACCATTTGTTGTCTGTTTGACAGGAATGCTTCTATCCAGTTATTCAGTTATCCAGAGAAACCATAGGATTTTATTTTTAGGAGTAGTTTGTCGTGTACCACTGAATCAAATGCTTTACAGAAGTCTATGTAGATTGCGTCTATTGCTTTGCCCTGGTCGAGTTGTGTCGTCCATATGTTTTTGCAGTGTAAGAGTTGCAGATTACAGGATAGTTTTTTTCTGAAACCAAATTGTTTATTGGAGAGTAGGTTGTTTGTCTCTAAGTGGAGGATGATGGATTGGTTAATAATTGATTCCATGACTTTACAGGTGACGCAGCATAAGGAGATTGGCCTGTAATTTTCAACTAGGCTTGGGTCTCCCTTTTTGAAGATGGGGATGACTGTGGCTTGTGACCATAGGTTAGGCAAGGAGCTGGTCCTGAAAGATTTTTCAAAGATTATGCTTAGAGGTTTGGCTATGGCAGTGGATAGCTTTCTTAAGAAGTAGGCACATATTCCATCCGGTCCAATAGATAGAGATGGTTTTAGATTACGTAGTGATTTTTCAACATTGTCTTCTGTGAAATCGATATGTATTAGATCATTGTTGTTATCTGTGGTACGGCTAGGAAATACTGGGCATGATCCATTGCTGTTTACAAATACTGAGCCGAAGAATGTGTTAAAGATGTTGGCTTTAATGGTGTCGTCGTTGCAGTCTTTACCATCAGGTCCTATCAAGGGAGGGATGGACCTTGATATATATAAAATACAGTATGAGTATAGGTAGTCCTGAAGTTATGACTGGTCACTTAATGACTGATGGACCTCCCCCTCAACAGAGCTACTTATGATGTTTTTGGACTTATGACAACTGCACAACCCCATCACATGATCACTCTTTGGGCATTTGGTAAATGGTTCACCTTTACAATGATTTGTACATCCCGTGGTCACCTGACTGCAGTTTCTTACATTTTTTGATAGAGTCTGGTGTAGATTTCTATAGGGACACTGTCATTCAGGTGGAAGGTGGGAGGCTTGGGGAAGGGTCTCTGTATGGGGTTTCTGTTTCTCTTCCTTGCTTTGCCTTGATGTAACTTTCAGGATCTTGGGAGGGGGGAACGGAATGTGCCTCGAGCCATCTGTCTTATCTCATCTCTGGAGAAGAGCGGCAGCATTGCCTTGGAAACTGGAGATTATCACCTTCTCAACCTGAGTTTCTCATAACGTCTTTACACCTCAGGATTGGCTCGATGATGGACTGGGCTTTGGGAGGGGCTCTGTTTGCAATGGTTTAATCTAACATTTTGAATGGGAAATCTTAGTTCCTGCCTACATCTTCTTGCTTTCACAATCTTCCAATAAAATTCCTTTTGAAATGGCTTTTGTTTCAAGAATTCTGTTTTCTTGAGAAGACTGGTGAGGCAGGACCTTACACCCCTTCCAGCTGCCTTGATTCTATTATTTTGACTAAGCTCATATTGATGATCATAAATCAACTGAATTTCAGATAAGCTAATCGTAGGAAAAGGAGAGCTCAGTATCTCTCATTTATGTAATTTGCTAGCTAATATAGTGGGCTCCACACTCACACCCGTTTTTTCTCAATGACAGAGCAGACCAATATTTAAATACCCATATCTATCATCACATGGGCAGGTTTCTATTTAACAACTTCTTCCAATATTTTTCATCATCTGCCTTTATCCTTGAGCTGAAAGAAATTCTGTTCCTTCTTTTCAGATGCATAATTGCAACTCTTTCATCCATAACTATTAGGTTTTTTTTCTTTTACAAAATAACCAGCTTAAAGTTTGTACATGCATGGTAACCAAATAGATAGAGTGTGGAAAAACTGATAACTTTTTTAAAAATGGATTAAGGGAGCTCTTTTCTAAGCAGTTTATGAAAGTTATATGTAGTAAATTACACTGCTCAAAAAAATAAAGGGAACACAAAAATAAGACATCCTAGATCTGAATGAATGAAATCTTCTTATTAAATACTTTGTTCATTACATAGTTGAATGTGCTGACAACAAAATCACATGAAAATTATAAATGGAAATCAAATTTAGCAACCCATGGAGGTCTGGATTTGGAGTTACACTCAAAATTAAAGTGGAAAAAAACACTACAGGCTGATCCAACTTTGATGTAATGTCCTTAAAACAAATCAAAATGAGGCTCAGTAGTGTGTGTGGCCTCCACACGCCTGTATGACCTCCCTACAACACCTGGGCATGCTCCTGATGAGGTGGCAGATGGTCTCCTAAAGGATCTCCTCCCACACCTGGACTAAAGCATCCTCCAACTCCTGGACAGTCTGGACACTCATACCACCCTCATGGAATCTGTTTCTGACCATTTGAGCAGCCACATGCACATTTGTGGCCCACTGGAGGTCATTTTGCAGGGCTCCGGCAGTGCTCCTTCTGTCCTCCTTGCACAAAGGCAGAGGTAGCGGTCCTAATGCTGGGTTGTTGCCCTCCTACGGCCTCCTCCACATCTCCTGATGTACTGGCCTGTCTTCTGATAGCGCCTCCATGCTCTGGACACTACGCTGGCCTGTCTCCTGATAGCGCCTCCATGCTCTGGACACTACTCTGACAGACACAGCAAACCTTCTTGCCACAGCTCGCATTGATGTGCCATCCTGGATGAGCTGCACTACTTGAGCCACTTGTATGGGTTGTAGACTCCGTCTCATGCTACCACTACAGTGAAAGCACTGCCAGCATTCAAAAGTGACCAAACCATCAGCCAGAAAGCATAGGAACTGAGAAGTGGTCTGTGGTCACCACCTGCAGAACCACTCCTTTATTGGGGATGTCTTGTTTACTGCCTATGCTTTCCACCTGTTGTCTATTCCATTTGCACAACAGCATGTGAAATTGATTGTCAGTCAGTGTTGCTACTAAGTGGACAGTTTGATTTCACAGAAGTGTGATTGACTTGGAGTTACATTGTACAGTGTTCCCTTTATTTTTTTTGAGCAGTGTATATTCTCCTCAAAGGGAGAGGAAGGGAAAAAGAAAAGGAATGAGAGATGAATGGATACTTACTTTTGAAATATGAGTTCTGAGTTCTTGAAAAAGTGACTCCAGAAGAGACATATTGTTGAGGCACAATGGCTGATAGATGTTTATTCCAAGAGTTTCCAAAAGGAGACTTTGCAAAGATGCATTCACTGATAGAACCTCACAGACAGCAACTTTAAGGTTTGCTTGTGAAGAGTTTTGTTTCTGCATTCAAATAGTAAAATGGCATATAAAAGTAATGAAATAAAATTATTTTGTTCAGTATGACTAGATACAGTTTTTCTAAAATGAGTTGATCAAATGTTTGGAAGAACATGATACAAGAAGTCCTTGACTTACAACAGTTTATTTAGTGACCACTCAAATTTACAACAGCACCAAAAAAAATGACTTACAACTGTTCTTCATACTTATGATCATTGCAGCATCCCCATGGTCACATGATCAAAATTAAAATATCTGACAACTGACTTTTTATGATGGTTGCAGTGTCCCAGGGTTATGTGATCACTTTTGTGACCTTCTGATGAGGAAAGTCAATGGGGAAGCCAGATTCACTTAACCATGTCACTAACTGTTTCTTTTTCCAAACTGGAAAATAATTCAGTGTCCCTCCCACTCACCAGGTCTGTGAATGAGGTTTTCTACATCCCATTTTATGAAAATGAAGGAAGCTACTTACTAGAATCCACCCCACAACCCAAAAAGTCCACTAACACTCCATGTGCTTGTTTACATGTAGTTATGCATATTTGTCTCAGTCTGTGTGCAAGGAAAGCTCATTTGAACAAAGTAAAAATACTGTATTTAGAAGTCTCAAAAGTCTTAGGATCACTACTTCTGTGCATGCCTCTGATAACCATAAAATTTCATAAAATAACTAGAATTTCATCCAGTGGAAAACCGTCCAAACTTTGCAACTAGGAAATTTTTCTAAAATAACAACTACTTGACATTGGGATGGTCCTTTGCTAAAAAAACAACAATTTTTTTTTTTAAAGTAAGTATCTATTGGGTTGTGACTTCAACAATGCTGGAAAGATATGGAAACTTAAAGCAAAGATGGAGCACTATATAATGCTGCCATGAGCTTCTTACAAAAGGTTGGTTATAAATCCAGTCCAATCAATCATTTCTATTATTTGAAGATAGGGAGGTAATAAATAGCTCTACAAATGGGATGGCTGTTGCATTACCGGTAAACCAGCAGATGGTGGGCTTTCCTGGTGGATGAACACAATTGATACTTCTACTGTATAGAATACTCCGTTCAGTCATCTGCTATTTCAGGTAGCTTCCAGGTGCATATAGCCTTTTAGCAATATACACTTTTTTCTCTTATTTTATGTTTCACTTGAAAACCAGCATGAAGCATGAAGTTTGAAGCTACTAGAAGATTAGATGCCCTAGCTTTCTTCAGGATGGTTAAGGTTTCAGTTATTTTAAGTTTAAATACAAATAAATTTGTTTCATGCTGTACTATTTGCACCACTAATATAAATTATTTTGTTTTTATTTGATGATCAGAATTATCATTTTTGCATTATCTATATTCAGTACACATGGGAGTATAAACAAATGACATTTGGGTGCTTTTTAAAGCTAAATTATTTATTTTATTTCTTCATAAAAACATTAAAATGTATATACCTACATTAACTTTAGGTAAAAGGCGGCATTTAAAGATGACAATATATAGACAATTACCTCTGCTAAAGTGAGAATATCATTAAGCAAGTATATTTTGTCATAGCTGGTTGGTGATGAAATATTTTCAATAAAAACTTTCAGATTGAATGTTGAATCAAGTATCCCTGAAAGTGAAAGAAGAAAATGTTTTACCTCATCATTACAATATAAAGCCTGGGATAAATGATAAAGAATCATAAAGAGGAAGAACCCAAATTCCCAAAGAGTACTGGGACCTAGTGGGGGTATTCAGTGAGAAACAAGGCAACATGCTACCTCCCATCCTCTATGCCCATGAGTTTCTGCTGGGAGCTAAACTTCCCAAACCAAAGATGTACTCCATCACCCCAAGGGAGATGACTTCATTGACAAAAAAAACTTTCTAGGGATTTCATCCAGCTGGCGAAGTCCCACATGGTGGCCCCAGTACTGTTCAAAGGAAAGAAAGATGGGACAATGAGTTTGTGCGTTGCTTTTAAGGGGATAAATGTGTGTGGATAACATGTACCCCCTTCCCCCTAATGAAGGACATACTAGCCCATCTGGCCTAGGGGAAAATCTTCACTAAGCCAGACCTGAGGGAGGCGTACTAGAGAGTGAGTATTAAAGAGGGGGGCAAGTGGAAAATGTCTACATTGTCTAAATGTCACAGTTGCCCAAATTGCCAAATTGTCTAAATGTGAATTCCATAAGACCCGCCTTGACTACCTAGGATGTCAAGTATCAAGCATTGAGGAGATAGGGGGAGAGATGAACCCAGGAAAGGTAAAAGCCATCCTGGAATGGCAACCCCCTTGAACCCGCAAACAACTACAAAGCTTTCTGGGAAGTTCACAAACTTCTACTGGCAGTTCATCCCCTCCTTTGCCAAGACAACCTTGCCAATCACTGAACTACTAAAGACAGGGAAAGCAGGGGCCAGGCCAACCACTAGAGTGGGCTATGAAATGCTGTTCTGACCAAGGCTTCCACACCATAATTACGCACACACATCTTTTAAAAACAAGACTTATTTTAATGCAACATTGGGAATTGTTTTTGCATTCCCAGCTGGAATTAATTTCAAACAGTCCCCCGAGATAAGCACACACCAGGTTCAGTTCTGTGAAGTGCTGCCAAAAACACAAATCATAGAAACCAAACGAAGTACAAAAAAAAAAAAAAAACCAACCAAAGCACGAAGAGCTTCCAGAATGACTCTGAACCGATCGAACTACTTTGCTTCCTGTAAACTAGGTATCGTCATCTTGGCCTGACCTTTATACCTAATGGGAGGGGCAATCACCTCCCAGCCTTACTCCCGAGTCGCCCTTTTTGTTTCAGCTGCTCTCGCCTTCTAGCAGCTCTGCGCACACAGGCACTGGGAACAAGCTCCCCTGGGTCCTCTGCCTCACTGCTACCAGACTCAGAAGGATCTGAAGGCAGCACTCCACTCCCAGATGGTCCTGGCCCCATCTCTGCATCAGATGCAGGACCCTCATCCAAGTCCTCTCCAGACTCCCTGACTGGTCACCGTCCTTCCCCACTGTCTGATTCCGCTGCTGTCTGCACCAGCTGTCAGCGAACCACAACACTATCCCTCACTGCAGGGTCCTTCCCCTGGGTCTGATGGTCCTGATGTGGCCGTGATGGGAATTGGGTGTGGAATGCATCCACCAAAGCAGGGGCATGTACAGAAGTCACATCTTCCCATGTGAAATCCTCCGGTCCATAACCCTTCCACTCAATGAGGTACTGGAACTGCCTTTTCAGCCAACCGAGAGTCCCAAATGCTGATGACCTCATACTTAGGCAGTTCATCTCCATCACATGGTGCTGGCTGGGGACAGTCAGGTTGGTGGAGCGGACAGGCTGGCTGTTTAGGAACCAGGAGGTATCTAGGGAGAATGGAATGGACACATAGTAGTAAGTGAAGCAAGGTCAGGCAGTAGGCGACCAGGTTGATAACTGCCTCCACAGGGAATGGGCCAAAGTACTGATGGTTGACCTTCTTGTCTCTCCGGTGTTGGTAAGGGCTGGAGCAGTCCTGAGGGAGCCCCCGTCACCGACTTGGCCTGCCAGCATAGCATACAGAACATAACATTGGATTGGATGTCGTGTCATAGTCGAGGCCACCAGAAAGTCTGAGACACGAGATGTAAAGTTTTGAAGAGGCCGAAGTGCCCCGCCGCAGGATTAACATGGCACTGCAACAAGATAAGTACCCGGAGCGGCCCAACTGGTACATAGAACCTGTTGCAGTACCACAAGAGTTCCTTGGTGAACAACCATGGAGAGTTGGGCCCCACCTCTTGCTTCCATTGATCCACCCAAGCATCGTGCCGCTGTGCCTCCTGTATCTGAGCCTGTAGATCCACTGGTTCCTGAACTGCAGAGAAAGACTCTACGGGCAGAACCATCCAGAGTGGGAGTTGGTCCTCAGTACCTGAGTATTTGGGTTTCCACAAGAGTGCATCTGCCCTTTGGTTGCAACCACTTGGGATATAAGTGACATGGAAATTAAACTGGGCAAAGAAGAGGGACCACTGGATCTGGTGTTGATTCAGTTTCCAGGTGGTCTTCAACAACTCCAAATTTTTGTGATCTGTCCAGACTTCAACTTGATGTCGCACCCCCTCCAAATGATGCCTCCAGACCACAAACACCACCTTAATGGCCAGTAGCTCCTTTTCCCAGATGGTATAATTGCGCTCGGAAGAATTGAACTTCCGCAAATAATACACGCAAGGGAAGAGGGTACCGCCAGACGCATGAGCCTGGAGTAACACCACTCCGAGTGCCACATTGGACGCATCTGCTTCCACCACGAACGGACGGTGTGGATCAGCATGTTTCAAGATAGGGTCTTTCATAAAGGCCTGTTCCAAGGCCTGGAACGCTTGTTGCTCAGGAGCACTTCACTGGAACCAGACCTTTTTCTGGAGGAGCCGAGTGAGGGGCACGGTCAGGGAAGTGAATCCAGGGATGAAAGTCTGATAATCGTTGGCAAACCCGAGAATCGCTGGACATCCTTCACTCACTGGGGAGGTTGTCAACCACGCAGCAACTAGACCTTGCTCGGCTCCATTGAAATACCATCTGGAGAGATGCAATGCCCCAGGAACTCAATGGTGGACTGGAAGAACTGGCACTTCTCCAGTTTTATTAGAAGCGGTTCTCCCAGAGCCATTGCAGAACCAGGTGCAGGTGGTTTGAATAGATCAAAATGTCATCAAGGTAAACCAGAACAAATTGATCTAAGAGGTCCTGAAAAATGTCATTCATAAAATGTTGGAAGACAGCAGGAGCATTGGTCAACCCAAACGACACGACCGTGTGTTCAAAATGCCCGTACCTGGTACCGAATGCCGTCTTCCACTCATCTCCGGGCCAGATCCACACCAAATTATATGCTCTGCACAGGTCCAACTTGGTGAACACTGTAGCCTCTTGGAGGCTCTCCATCAGTTCAGGAATCAAGGGCAGAGGATACCGATTGCACACCATGATGGCGTTTAATTTGTGGTAATTGCAACAAAGCCTCAAGTCACCAGTCTTCTTTTTAACAAACAGAACTGGGGCAGACAGTGGTGACGATAAGGGCCGGATAAAACCCCAAGTGAGATTCTTGTCCAAAAAGTCTCGCAATGCAGCCAACTCCTGGTCCAATATTGAATACAAACGGCCCACGAGGAGGGGGCGTGGCTGGCAACAAATCAATGGGACAGTTATAGGGGTGGTGTGGGGGCAATTGGTCCACCTCCTGCTCATTGAACACATCCACAGTCCACTAGTTCAGAAGGCATGGACACCCCAGGTGGACTCAGCAACTGTCCTGCGCAGACTTGGCAGGTGTGGTCGCATTGCAGGCTCAGGAACATAATCAGGTTCTGGGACCAGTAGATCTGGGGATCATGCATCCTGAGCCATGCCAAGCCCAAGACCATGGGGAAATGCAGACCGGAAATAATGTAGAACTGAATGTCCTCCTCATGCGAGCTGATAGTCAGGCGCAAGGGTTGCGTGGCGGCCTTGATAGGCCCAGACAAAAGAACCCAGCCATTGATGGTCTCCATGAGCATGGGAGGATCTATTGGGCACTGAGGGACTGTATTCTGGGCTGCAAACACTGCATCCATGAAGCTTGTGGTGGCGCCAGAATCAACCAGGATGTGCGCCGGAATCCCCTGTGGGCTACCAGCCAGAAAAACTTGTGCTGCCAGGATCAAATGCTGAGGGGGTCCGGAATCCATGTCCTCTGGGCGTGACTCGAGGCTGGTGCATGCCTGACCCAGGGTCTCCCCTAGCTCAGGCTCCAGGTGTTTCGTGACAGGGTTTTCTTTGGCTAGGGAGCAGGCACAGGGGCTGACGTCCCTCAGTGCTTCTTGGGGCATGAAGCAGCCATGTGCCCAGGTTCCCCACAATACAAACACAACACCCCTGCACACCATCTGTTGTACTCCATCACCGACAGGTGGGGCCTGGCGGCACCTAGGTCCATGGGCTCCTCCCATGGAGCCGGGGTCTCATGCACAGCAGGTACCACAGGAGTCTCCTGGGAGGCATGGTGACTGTTCCATCTCTGCAAGCGGGCATCGATCCTGAGGCACAGATGAACAAGAGCATTGAGGGTTGTTGGACAATCCACCCGAACCAGCTCATCTTGCAACTTCTCCAACAACCCATCCTGGAACGCATCCATGAGGGCAGCCTCGCTCCAGGCCGAATCCTGGCTAAGCTGCTGGAACTCACTGACATTCCTGCAGGGGTTGCTGGCCCTGCTGCAGTTCCTTCAGATGACAGGCAGCAGTCTGTGTTTTTATGGGGTCCTCATACATCAGGTGGAGGTGATCACAAAACCCCCTAAAGTCATCCAACAAAGGACAACCCTGGACCAACAAAGGCGTGGCCCAGTGAACTGCAGAGCCAGAGAGCAGGCTAATTATAAACCCCACTTTATCCCAGTCAGTGGGGAAGTCCTCTGCTGTTAAGCTAATAAATAGCTAACACTGTTCCCAAAACACTGGAAATATAGCCTGGTTGCTATCAAACTTATCAGGCACAGCCACCGGGCATTTCCTTCAAGGAGGAGGTGGAGCAGCATGAACTTGAAGCTGGCCTAATTGGTTTGCCTGCAAAGCCAGCTGCTGCTGAAGCTAAGCGTTCTCTGCATGAAGCTGTTCCATGTCTCATTAAAGGTTTGTTTCGTTTGGGCAGGAAGCAAACTGTTCTGACCAAGGCTTCCAAACTGTAATTATGCACACACATCTTTTAAAAACAATACTTATTTTATTGCAACATTGGGAATTGCTTTCATTCCCAGCCAGAATTAATCTCAAACAGTCCCCTGAGATAAGCACACACCTTTCAGTTCTGTGAAGTGCTGCCAAAAACAGAAGTATCAAATGAACTGGAAAAGAAACCAACCAATGTACAAAAAAACCCAACTGAAGAGCTTCCAGAATGACTCTGAACCGATCAAACTACTTTGCTTCCTGCAAAGGTATCATCATCTTGGCCTGACCTTTATACCTTATGGGAGGGGCAATTACCTCCCAGACTTACTCCCGAGGCGCCCCTTTGTTTCAGCTGCTCTCGCCTTCTAGCAGCTCTGCGTACACATGCACTGGGAACAGGCTCCCCTGAGTCCTCTGCCTTGCTGCTGCCAGACTCCAAAGGCTCCAAAGGCAGCACCCTATTCCCAGATGGTCCTGGCCCCATTTCTGCATCGGACGCAGGACCCTCGTCCGAATCCTCTCCAGACTCCCTGACTGGTCCCTGTTCTTCCCCACTGTCCGATTCTGCTGCCGTCTGCACCGGCTGCTGGCAAACCACAACAAATGCTAGGGGGCATTCAATAAGCTCAAGTGGCTATTTGGGAAGGAGCTGATCCTAAAACTCCCTAACTCAGAGAAGCCGTTTATCATCCAGGCTAATGCCAGTGATGTAGCTATGAGTGCAGATCTCCTCCAGAGAAATAAAGAGGAAAACCTGCAACCATGTGCATACACCTCCAGAAAGCTCACTGACCTCGAAAGGAGATGGGCAATGTGGGAAAAAGAGGCTTTTGCCATCTGTTGGTGGATGGAATGCATTGCTAGACACAAAAAAGAGTTTTCTTGTGAGAACCAAGGTCATTTCCACAGGTGACGGATAAAATCGAAGAGGAGTGCCTGGAGAACCTCCCACTTAATCTAATTGGCCAACATGACCTGTGACAATTGGGGAGAAAGTTATTTCCTATTTTAATTATACTGAAACCATGGGAAAGATTTAGAATTGGTTTTACATTTGACCGTGCCAATATGATATATCCAATAAAGAAGTCATTTGAGAAGATTCCAGTCTCAGGGTTCTGATTTGCTTGGATTCGTTAGTCAGAAACTTGACATTTGGTTTGCCACCCACCTCACCACATCACTCTGTCTCCTTGGATTTCTTGTTGCTAAATTATCATTTATTAAATGAAGTTTTTACACATGATCCAATCTATTATTGTGCTGATATAACTATTAAAACCAACTGCTCTTGTTTTATTACAGAGGCTTACAAAATTTTACCTACACAGAACTCTTTGTCCATTATTATTTATTAATGATAGTAAATTAAATAACTTACCCAATGGACGATGCCTATTTTGGAGGACGTCAGCACTTTGGGATGATGGGCTTCTCTCCTCCGCCTGGCTAGCAGAACTTCTCTGTCTTCTGTTAAGAAAAGAAGCAAGAAGATGCTTCTTCTACTTAGTATTTCATTTCCTACTGCTTTTATATATAAATTAAGCATATTAATAACAAGCTCAGTTTGTCAGAAATGAATGTTTATTGAAATACAAACTATATTGATCAGATGATAGATAGATAGATAGATAGATAGATAGATAATGTGCCGTCAAATTAGTGTTGACTCTTAGTGACCACATCGACATTTATTTAGGCTCTTTCCGTTGTCTGCAAGAATTATTTTAGCAATCTCAATAGAATTAAGAATATGCAAATGTGCATATTCTACAATATTTTCTAATATTTCATATAATGATAAGCTTCAGGTAAAAAATAGCATTCAACATAGTATATTGCTATAAGGAAAATGAATGTGTCAAGGGTGAGATGCCTGTTGGTAAAAATGATATCCAGCTCTATTATCAAATGAGAAGTAAACAGAGGAAGCAAATCTGGGATACAGAGAGATCTCATTTTGGAAGTCCTGAATTCATTTTCCTGAGGTAGACCAAGAGAGACACATCCAACATTATTCCATATTTCACTACTTGGGGAAAGTGGTCCATACTAACATATTTCAAATCTCAACAAAGTTTTAAAGAGATCAAATCCTGAGTGGGATTCCCTTTTGGTTTTGATCCTTCCTGGTTTCAAGCTGCTCTGTGCTTTCAAGAGAATGTAGACCTCAAAAATCTTGGTCCAGATTTCTTTGATAGAGGCCAATTCTGAAAGAGCTCATGTACCTGATTGCTCCTCCAGGAAGTGAATTTCTCCTCTTAGAAAAGAGCATGTGAATCTGAGGTTAAACATCCAAGAGGTGATGATTCTCTCTGTGGGGATTAGGCCAGTGGTCTCCATGTTTCATCATTTTAATTAGCATGATCATATACAATATAGCGCACACACAGGAAGCCAAGCAACTTTTTTTACCTGCTTTTGAGTGAAATATTCAATTTGGGCAACAGATCTTCAGGAGTATATGGTGCACTTTTGCATGTGGAATCAGAACTGCAAAGCACAGTTTGGAGAAATGGCAAGAAACCTGTGCTGGGAAGATTCCGAGGGGCCAGGTAACCTGAAAAGAATGAAATAAAATGATACAGCTATGGGAATTAGTGAAAAAATATTTATCTGGTTTTTAAAAAAAATATGGAAAGGTTTCTGGCAAAAAAAATAAAATAGAACCATACACAAAAAGAAACGGTACAAATGAAGAACACTTTTTTAAAACAAGCAAAGACTTGTTCAGTGTAGAAATTTACAAGAAAAGTGGCCTGCTGGTGCAAAGGTACTTCTCATCTTGGATTCTTGCTACAAATAATTCTAGTGCAAATATGGACTATAGGTGCACATAAATAATTGACAATGCTATTACTTTACAATAATTAAATTAAAATTAATCCAACTTCATTCAAATCCAAAGGTTGCCTCCAGTATTTACAATGGATCTACTGAAATGTAAGGACCAGTAACTCAGTTGTTAATAAAGTGGTTGTTAAGTGAAACTGCCACTGTGCTTATGATCTGAATTTATGGAATATAAATATGAGGATTGATTGAAAAATTACATTTTCTTCGCTGTTGTAACTGTGAACAGTCAGTACACAAGGCAGTGGCTAAATGAGTACTGCCTGCAACTGTTTGGGCTAAACTAGATATGGTTAATGAAGCCTTGTTTACTTCAGTGAATCTACTCTAAAACCAGACTCCTCTTACCACTATTATTAAGCATTTTTTGATCTGAAACAGACATATGTCAAGGATTTGGTGCTCGCCCTGGTCTCGCCTTCCTCCACTGGAGACAATGGATCTCCCCAGCCCCACCTGGGCTACCAGAGGCACCCACAGACATGAGCAACATCGAGCTGGCTATGCCCCCCGGCTGTGACACACACACACACACCCGGTTGCTCCCCCCAGCTAGGGCTCCCCCAAGGTCAACCAGAACCTTGATGCAGCCCTCCATGAACTTGAGTTTGACACTCCTGGTCTAGTATATCAAAGAGTAGGATTGGGGGGACATGATAACTGTCTTCCCAGTACTTGAGGGGCTGTCACAGAGATAAAGAGAAAATTGACATATTCTCCAAAGCACAGAAAATAGGACAAGAGGTAATGGGTTGAAGCTTGTTAAAAAGAAAACCAACCTAGAAATAAGGAAAAAAAATTCTGATGGTAAGAGCAACTAATCAATGGGATAATTTGCTTACAAAGTTGTGAATGCCTGATCACTGTGTAATGACCTGGGCATGGCATGAAAGCAACACAGACAGAGATCAGGTCTAACTCCCCTTTATTGCTCCAACTTTTCCCCCAAACTTCCCCACGTTTACTACAACTCCTGGAGCAAAGCTCTCACGTGCATCTTCAGCAGCCTGTGGCCGTGAGTAGTCCAGTAAGCCAGGTTACCCAAACAGTAACCAGGGCCAGCAATCCAGTAAGCCAGGTTAGCCAAACTGTAACCAGGGCCAGGAGTTCAGCAAAGCAGGCAAACCGGACAAGCCCCACAAGACAGAGCTGTGGCCACCTGGTTTGAGCAGGTGGCCACAGTAATCACCAAGTGTTGGCAAGTACAGACAAGGCTCCACTGGTTCAATGCTTGTTCCTGACAAATGCCCCTCCCATTGGCACTTCCTTACATCTTCGTCCCAAGCAGGTGCGCCTTAGTCCCCAGGTGTGCCTTGTGAAGGGGCATTCTCCTTCCTCAGAGCCAGCTCAGTCTACGTTGATCTCGCCTTCTGTCTTCTCTCCGTGCTCTAGGATCAGGAGGGGATGGTCCTTGCTTGTCATCTGAGCTCTGTCTCCTGCTCCTCCCTGTCTGCAAGTCTTTCTAATCCTGACAAGCTCTGGCCAGACTGACTCTGCCCTTCCCCAGTTTCCTCCAAAGCCAACGGAGCTGCCCTTTTGATCTCTCTTGGCTCTTGTTCCAGCTCATCTTCCCCTGCAGATTCAGACTCCGAAGGGGGCCTGACACACTGGAGGTTTTCAAAAACTGGTTAACCATTTGATTGGGATGAACAAGGGGTGGAACCCCAGCACTATTATTCTATGTTCCTGTTCTGACCGGTAAGATTCCTGAGAACCATGGAGAAAGTGGGGCATCTTCCCACTCACTCAAACCAGGTGGCCACAACTTCTTTCCATGTTCTTGGTAGAATGTTCTACTCTGTCACCTTGAAATCAGATAAAAGATTGGTCAGAGAGGAAATTCTCTGAAGGATCTGGCAGGTATGTATCATATGTTTGTAAAGGACTACCATGCTAATATCTGCCATAATGGAATTCCATATTACATCTCATCTAGATAGAAGATATAATTCTTTATTGGCCAAGTGTGATTGGACAAACAAGGAATTTGTCTTGGTGCAAATGCTCTCAGTATACATAAAAGAAAAGAGTCAAGAGTCAAGAATCATAAGGTACAACACTTAATGATAGTCATAGGGTACAATAAGCAATCAAATGCCATCATTACTTTCAAAATTTAAAGATGGATAGTAATTAAGAAAAATGTGCCTCATCTGAGGACTCCCTTTCCATGGGCTCATACTTTGGCATTTACAAAACTAGAGCAAATATTTGTTAAAATATGCGAAGAATAAAAAGAATAGATTCATCCTTATAATGCCTATCAACAATTACTTACAGTTTGATTGGGCTTCTGGAGGAAATTGTATTCGAATGACAGCCATAAGAATGAATGAAAATACAGGCAAAGAAATTAATGTGAAAGACCAAAGCTGTGAAGAAAGAACAAATTATATTCAAGTTTGATATATTTGGAACATTTTAACAATAATAATCATACAAAAAGAACACCTGAAAGGCAGGAAAAATTAACAAATAAAGTCAATTTTCATTTTAGCATAAAGAACAAACTTTGTTATGGAAAGTCCCAACTTTTGCTAATTAGGAAATATTGGTATTGAAAACTGCCAGAGAAGGCAGATTCATATCATAAGTTATTCTGGGGCAATGATCTTACGGCATGGTTAGAGAAGCAAGGATGGACAGTTGCTTCCTTGTTTGCTTCCTTGGAAAAGGTTTATTTTTATGTCTTATATATGCTTTAAGAACTTTGAAGGCTTTTGTTTTATTTGACAATTAAAAGTATCTGGAAATCAGCGACATTATTAGGTGATTTGTTGCAGGATTTCAAAGATATGGCCTTAGGTAGCTCTTTAGGGCTAGAAGACTATGTGAAAAGACATCAATTATTTTTTAAAAAATGTAAATACTCTGTAGTCTTGCTAAGCAACCTGGATATGCTTTCAATTTAATTTACTGTATATCACTGCATTACAATTCTATATATATAATTTATTTATTTATTTAACCCTTGGTTAAAGAACTTTTGCATGCAGTGAGCCGGTTGCCTCTGAGATTGGTCTAGGTGAGATGGACGACATACAAGTCAAATAAATACAAATAAATAAATATGTCTCTGGCTATACTGATTGGGATTTCTTGAGTTCTTAAAAAGATTGCAGCATAGGGCCTCATACTGCCTTTTGAGGCTTGACAGAATTTGCTTATCATAGGGCCATCCATAAAGACGATTTGGATCAGTTTAGCATGAACTAGCCCAAGTAGTTATGGACACAACCAGGTCTCCCCATATAATAACACTGCTACTATAAGAGCTGCATTGGCTAATTATTAACATTTGGACACAATTCATGGTGTTGGTGTCACACCTGCCCCAACCAGGATCCCAGGAAAGAAAGACCCTCGACTCCATTTTTGTGAAAGATATACTTTTATTAAATATTAAGTGGGTAGAGGAAAGCCAAAACTGAAGTTTAAGCATGAAGATTCCCTAGTTAATTTTCCCTTTACCCATTCCTTCCCCTTTTAATATGTCTATTGTCCAGTTACATTCAAAGGATTTGTTTTGGTGGCTAGGTAGTGAGACGAGGCCAGCAGCAGCATGGGTAGTTGCTTAGCCACTTTAGGACTTGTCAATTTCAACGCAGAATTCCCCATAGCCCACCAACCCCCATTTTTGGGATATGCATCTGTGCTGGGCTTAAGGAAAGAACGATCAGCAGGAAACTGGTGGGGGCATTTTCCTGCTGATTGTCCTTTCCTTGGGAGCCCTGCACAGACGCATATCCCAAAAATGCTCTGTCTGAAGCCTTCAGCCTTGCAATCCTGTGCAAGGAAGGTGGAGGTTTGCTCTGAAGCTGCTGCAGAGCATTGAAGCCATCTTTAATGAACAAGTAACTCTATCTGGGGAAGAAAGGGGAAAGGGGGGAAAGAGAATGGAGAATTTAAGACTTAAAAAAACAACCAAAAAAGGGAAAAATAATTTGAAAAGTGGATATAAGGTTGGAAAGCTACAGAAAAGGGGAATACAGAAGAGGGAAATGGAGGTAGTGAGACAGGGGGGTAAAAAGGGGAGAGAAAAGAAGAAAGGGAAGAAAGAAAGGAAGAGAAGTTACAAAGGCTTAGAGCAAGATGTAAAGAAACAGGACCTATTCAGAAATAATGGGTGAAAAATTAACTGAAAAAGGGATTCTGTGAAGGTACATAAGATGGTATTGTTATATTTGTAATAGAAATAACAACATATGATTAAAAAGAGGGATAAAATAGTCAGTGTAATGTAGTGAAACTTTTGTGAACAAAATAAATGAAATAAAATAAATGAGAGAATTAAATTAGGAAGGAATGGGAACATTTTAATTACTCAATGTTTTATAAAATATAAGTGAAGTGGGGGGGAATTAATTATGGAAAGTTTATAAGTGTCCCCATAGAAGTATGATATTTATCTGAAAAGTAATATGTAAAATGTTAAGATTTAAATGAATATTAATATTAATGAGAGAATTGAATTGGAATGGAATGTTGTTTTAATTATATTTTACATTTATAATTTTTTCTTTTTTTTAAATACAGTGTGTAGTTTTAGAAAGTACCAAGCAGAATCCGAACGAAGTTATGTATTATATTAAGTGTTATAATTTTAGGGGAAAGATATAAAGGCATCATACTCCAGTCAGTGATTACAGAAAAATCTTTGTCTAATGAGAAAAGATAGTAGACAGTTGAAACAGGACAGACAAAGAATATAAGTACAATGATTTGAATTGAGATGAAATAAATAAAACAAAATTAAGAAAATTAAAAGAGGGGAGAAGCTATATTGAAAATGTAGAATAGTAATAAGATATGGAATGGAATATAAAAATGAGCATGAACTTGAATTTGTGTCTGTACGAAGAGATGTAACCCGGGATTATGCTGCTTTCAAAAAAGATGTTTTATGTTTTTATGTTTTATGTTTTGTTTGTTTATGTTTGTTTTCAAAAATCAATAAAATTTTCAAAAAAAAGAAAAAAAAGAAAAGAGGAATGAGAAAAAGGGAATGAAATGAGAAAACAATATTATTCATTTTTAACATTATAACATAATCTTTATTGCTATCATATTTTTATAAAATCCAATTTAAAATGAAGTATGTGTTTAATTGAACCTGTAATATTACATTGGTGATAGCAATCAAGAGATTTACCTGCCAATTAAATTTGCTGGTCAAGCATTTACAGTTATATGGACAATCACAAGGATTCTATTTCTAATCTTTTTGTAGTTCTGTAGTTCTGTTTCTTTAACATACTTTGTCTTAAGAAAGGTTTAAAGAAGAATATATGGGTCACTGTCTTGTAATTTTCAAAAATAAAATAAAAGGAAGATTGTTCATTTCTGGACATTTCCAAGGTTGTAATTATTTAATTATAATTATAATATGCTTCAATTTTTTTATTTCCATTTTCTTTCTTTTGGTGAAATAAAGGCTGTTTAATTCAAAAAAAAAAAAAAAAAGAAGAAGGATCATTTGAGATGCAGTCATTGGTATATAGGGAGAAGAGAAGTGGAGATAGCACACAGCCATGGGGGGGGGGCTGTGCTGATTGTACAGGTATCCGATGTGATTCTGCCTAGCTTCACCTGCTGCTTCCTGTCTGTTAGGTCAGCCAGGAGGGCAATGAGGCCCTGCGAGGCCAATAGCAGCAGGTGCAGCAGACCCAGCAGCCAGGCAGAGGCGGGCGGGCGGGGGGGGAGCCAATTCCAATGCTCCTCACAGCTTTGTGCCTCATTGTAGCCGCAGTCTGAGCAAGACCCGTGTTCTAGGACTAGCAGAGCACAAACTGTGGTCATTGCCTGCTCCAGAGTCACAAGGTGAGTTGCAGAAGAGAGAGGCCCTTGTCTGTAAGGTTGCCTTGCACCTGGGCAGGCCTGCGACTGTTAAGAGTGCACCGGACACACCTCCAGGTGTTCTTACATACTAAAAGACACAAAACTATAGAAGAGGGCAAAAAAGGCACAAGAATGTCTTCTTTCTGCTGAAGAGTAAGACCGTTTGTCAGGATCACAAATGTCAGCTTGGCACCTTGCTGGCATCCTGCCATCAAAGGGGAAGGGAGGGGGAGGCATTTGGTGCAATTCACACCTGTGTATCTAATGGTGGGAAATGGGGAGGGGGAAACTGACATGTGAAGAAGACCAGAGCTGTTTGTACTGGTTATGCCAAGTATCTTCAAGGCCGCTTGCTCTGGATGTGAAATTCCAGCGCCCTAAACAACCCAGAGTTTCCCACAACATCCCAGTGATCCCAGATTGGCTGGAAACAGACTGGACATTGCGGGGGGATATTGGGTTTGGCTCTTTGTATCAGTGAGCAGGAACTTCACATTCCACCTCATCTTCCTACAACCAACATCTTTAGTAAAAATTCTTTTCACTTCCATTGGAGTTGAGAGTCTGCTTTCCTAAATGATTGTTTTGGGGCAGGTCTGACATTAAGTGGAATCTGCAATTTTGGCTAACCCAGGGAGGATATTACTTCTACTGTGGGGATTGTGCAGACAATGTTGACTCAAGGGAGAGATCAGGAAGAAATTGAAACCTGGGGAAAGGCATCCATGAGGCCTCCTTCCAGGAGCACTGGATCAGTCTGAGTGGCTGGGAGAGGGTGGCCTGCCAAGACCCTGATGGTCCCTAGGGTTAGGAAGAAAAAAGGACTGGAAAGAGAAATCCCAGAGGGTGACATTCATTCACGGGGACAGGGGCAACCACCTGGAAGGCTGGAGGAGCTGAAGGAAGAAGGTTATGAGTGTAGAGAAAGCAATCAAGCGGACTGGATGACGGACCAGGATATAAAGTTCATGCCTTCGAGAACCTCAAAGCGCACAAAACCCTGGTTTGAATGGAGCAATCTGATATGCATCTGTTCCCACCACAGCCGGCAATGGAACATCCACCTCTGCTGCGACAGTCAGCACCTCGGCCAGCCCAACAATGGTAGCTGCCACCACCCCAGTGCCAGAAGTGGTTGCCTAGCAGGGAGCCCCTGCAGGACCATCTCCAAGAGGAAGGAGAGCCTGTAAGACACACACACACACACACACACACACACACACACACAGATATGAAGTTTAATGGAGACATCCAGAAACTGGGATTCTTCCTGACCCAGGTCTGGACCTACATGGTGGAGTACAGCCTAGAAATACCCCTAGAAGGAGCCAAGATGAAATGTATTACCATGGCCCTGGAGGAGCCAGTTGCCCAGTGGATGGTAACCCTCTACAATGACGATGCCCCAGAGCTGAGAAATCTCAACTGCTTCATGACTTCCTCCACAAGTGACTTGAAGATCCCTTCAAAGTCCACAAAGCCAGGGACCACATCAAAACCATCCTGTAAGGGAGGAGGGATGTGGCCGAATACACCCAAGAATTTCACAGCCTGGCATATTGATTAACTGACTGGCCACAAGACATCAGGTGCTTCAAGGATGGGCTGAGTGATAAAATCTATAACACCTGCATCTCCAGGGGCTCTCCATGGATGATATGTCTTGGAGGAGGAATGAAGGTTGACCTGGCCCAGAACAAACACCAACCAGGACATGGGTGGTAAAAATCCCTCCCTGAGAAGCAGGATGCCCCAAAACCACTGACAAGTACCCAAGGCCCACAGCAGCACTCAACTGCTTGCTTCAAGTGTGGAAGGGAGGGCCACTGCCAGCCGAGTGCAGAGCCAGCCACCCAGTAAAAAAAACTGATCCCTGGGCCCATAAAGAAACCCACCAAGTCACTCCCACAGATCCAGGAAACATCCTTGAGGGAGTACAAGTTGTAGAGTTCTCTCCTCCCCAGGGGTGGCGATGGAAGTCTACTCAATTCAGCTGAGGGCCCTGTGGAAACCAATACCAACTCTGACTACACCTCCCCCCACCTTCCCCCGGTAAGTGGCCTCATCACCCTGGTGACCATCCCCTTAGAACTAGTGGTCCAATCCTCAGGAAGCAAAGCAAATTTGCCGGCCCTTCTGGACTCAGGTCACACCAGATGCCTGGACAACCCTGCCTAGTTGAGAAGCTAAGGATCAGACTCAAGCAGCTTAAGGTGCCAGTGGCCTTCTGTCAGTTGGATGGCTTGTAGCAGGGGGGGATCCCAGCAATATTCATCACTGAACCAGTGAAGTTGCGGATGGGGGCACATACCAAGACTCTGAGCTTTGGTAGCCTTATGTGAATTGGGAGAAGGGGCTGTTAAAAATATGATGGATCAACCCAGGGAAAAATCAGAGGAAAGACCAGGGTGCCCAGCATCCCAGACAAGGGATGGGGGCTATGTCCCAAGAACAGAAGAAGGCAAATCCTTGAATCCCTGAAGAGTATCAAGACCTGCAGGATGTATTCAGAGAAAAGGGGTTGGATGCACTCCCACCCCACCAGCTCACTAGCTGTTCCATAGAAATCCTGCAAAATGCTTTCCTGGAATCATTACTGAAATCTGGTAATAGTAATACCAAGATTGAGCACCCTGTCACTCCCCATTAATGCCTGTTGCAGAACATTAATCATCCTGGTGAATTTTAAGACACACCGGATAAAAAGCAAAACAGGTAGATCTGTAATAGCTAAAAAAAAGTCTTTATAAATAGAGGAATGATATTTAAGATAAAAGCTAATACTTTATGGCTAAATTGGATACTACTTTCCCAAGCTCTATTTTCACAAAATGGGGGGTGAGGTGAGTGGAGAGAAATAGCGTCTTTGAAATAATGGCAAGAATGGGCATTTACAAACTTCTAAATACCCATTCTAAAAAATGTTAACATTATTTTCACGCATATAGTAATAATTCTTCAATAGTTTTGTCATATTTTTGAGATGCAAAGAGAAATCTTGCCTATACCAAACTCAAGTGTAAAATGTTGATCTCCTCAGCATAAAATGAAGTATAATTTGTCAACTGAATGCATCTGCTGTGGTCCCGTCTCACCATGAATGAATTATATGTTTAACATATTAGAATAGTATCAGTAAAACCTTGGGCTTCACTTCCATAAATGTGATACCCTGGAGAAATAAACTTGTAGAAAAATTATACTAAAAGTATATTAATAAATGCATGATTAGATGAACAATACTTAACAGAGCAAATGGACTTTAAAAATCTTCAAAATTTTCTACTTTGGTGGCAAGCCAAGAAAGCAGCTATGTTAATAAAAGTTTGTCACCATTTCTTCACTCAGCCGCCCTGTTGCTCCTGTTTGGCCTTCACTGCGACTATTGCTTATTTTATTTAGTTAATTAGTTAGTTATATATTATTATTATTATTGTTGTTGTTGTTGTTGCTGCTGTTGTTGTTATTAAAATCTCAAGTTGGTGAACACACAATTTTTTTCCTCCTCCTATTTTTCCCACAACAATAATCCTGTGCAGGAGGTTGGGCTGAGACAGAGTGACTGGCCCAAAGTCACCCAGCCGGCTTTCATGCCAAAGGCAGGGCTAAAATTCAGAGTCTCCTGATTTTTAAGACAACACCTTCATCCCTATACCAAACTGTTCCTCTCCTTTCCCTCTCTGTTAGTACTGTCATGGTCAGAAGCTGCTATGTTGAGTGGAGCTGCTTTATTTTATGATGCATTGTTCATATGCCATTTCTCAATTTGGCTTATTGCACTTTAGCACTTAACAAAACAGAAAATGCATTGCTAAAGACAAGGGGGTAAATGCCCCCTTATCTTTAGAGAAAGTAACTTACAAAGGGGAGCAAGACCATTAGTAGAGCATCAGAATAAATAATCCATTCTGAATGAGACTTCCAATACTTCTGTATTGTTAATAGAAACAGAACGAGCAGGAAATATTTGGGGAAAGACTCTACACTGGCTCAGCACATTCATCCTTACTTCAGCCTAGCTTTATTTATGTGGTTGAAAGCTAAGTCAAATTGTTACAAATACTGCCATCTCCTATCAGCAATTATCATGTGATTGTTTAAAATGGGGGGAGGGGAGAAACCCTTCAAAACTCCATATATGGAAAATACAAAGAATCAGCCTTGATGAGATATAGAACAAAAAATATACTAGTTAAAAATAATTAATGAAAGGCTCTTAGATGAAGAATTGGCATCACAAAAGAGAGAGAATCCAGCACAGAGAAGGTTAAAAAATAAATGACTCAATCCATCAGCATTTCTGCTATGGTATATAAAATGTAATATATACAATTAAAGGCTGCTATCTTTAATAAGTTACTTGTGGCATAACTGCTTCCTTGTGCAGATTCTAATTTAATCTAAACCAGCCTTCCCCAATTTAGTGCTGGGACTAAAACTTTTAGAATTTCCAGCCAGCATAGCATTTTTTTTACTAGTCATATTGATGTAGTTTCTTTGTTTTCTTTTTCCTTGTTTTATTGTTCTATTATTTTTACTTTGTTTAAACTTCCTTTCTATTTCTTTTTTCTTTTTTAATGGTTGTGAGTTGCCTACAATAGTCCATGGCAAAATAGGCGGCAAATAAATGTAATAATAATATAATCCACATCTACCTATCCCAGATCCTTGAAAGGACTAGGTAGAAAAATGTCAAATCCAGTGTGAATATCTGGCGGACTGTGCAATGAACCACAATAGATGAGCATCATCTAATTAATGAAATAGCAAAGTACTTCCTGCTGTAAGTTGCCAACTCTTGAGATGCGTAAAGATATAAGCAGCTCAGTAAAAATACTATAATGCAATAATACTTAGAGTACAAGGACATGTTTATTTCCTACTCCATTAAAACAAAAATGGAAAAAAATTATTTTCCCTTTCGGGATGATGATGGAAAAAGAATGTATGAAATTGTAAACAGGACAGACAAAAGTACAATTATAATGACTAGAAAGATATAGAAATTTAGAAAAAGATATGTAATTGAATTAGAAAGGAATGAGATAATCATAAATAAGGTTGAGGTAAGGGAAAGGAAAAATTATTGAGAAATTGATAAAATAGTGACAAGATATGAAATTGAATACAAAGATGAATATGTAACTGAGATGATATCTGTATGGAGATGTGATAACCTGGAATCATCCTGCTCTCAAAAAAGATATTTTATTTGTATTATGTTTTGTGAAAACCCAAATAAAACTTTTACCAAAAAAAAAAAAAATATGGAAAAAATTAGCAATGAAGAAAAGATTCTAACCCAAACATTGCTTGCCAAGTAAGAATTCATAGATACATGTATGTATAAAATATACAGTTATGACACTTATTCATTGATCAGACATGGAAGAGCACAACATTTCCAATCAAATTTTACTAAAGAAAATATTGTTCACACTCATCATTTTGAAAAAGTGTATTACTACCTTTTCTTAAATAATATTTTCTCCCAGATTCCCTGGGACTTAAAATTATCTTGCTTTTTCATTTCTATACTTACCGGTTGCCTTTTGACGCTCAGCCAGTTCTTCCATAGCAACACCCACAGGTGTTGGAAGAGGGAAGCCATCCTCAGAAGAGCTTCGGGAAAAGAAGAAGTTTCTTGTCTTCTCTATGACCCAGCCTTAGGTTGCCAAAAATGTATGCTGTGATGAAGATTTGTATTGCTTTGCCTATGCTTTTTTTCTATACAACCCAGACGGCCAGTTCATCCCTTTGTCTCTGCTCTGTGCATCTCATTGACTTTCCTGTTGCACATGCAACAGGTTGACTCATCCAATGAGAATCAAAGAGTGCTTAATTATGATACTAAACTACTCTCTCAGCTTTCTTCAGTCCTGGTGTGATAAGGCTGGTGTCATTCCAAGAAGATGCTTCTGCTGAAATTAAAGAAGTGCACCTTTTCTCCCATAAGGAACTCCCTACCACCTACACATATAGCCTACAGAAGAACTGACAAAAGAAGCAAGCAACCAAGTGGGTTGCAAAGCCAGTAAGACCTGTTTTATTTCTTTTTCCTGATTTAATGCACACAAATTGACTGGGAGTAATAGAAAGTAGGTACATTACAGACATTTGTTATGCTCCATTTAAATAAAATTAATGTTAATGTTTGTCTAAAGCAAAAGGCAGGACATTATTTTCCATGAGAGCATTAAAAAAATTATAGACCATATATGAGTTCATGGTAAATGGTTTAGATTGATGCATAATGTGTAAATTAACATTATGCCACACATTGGGTCTTTTCTCATTGTAAGCTTAATTATATTCCACCCTTGAGCAGACAACTTACAACTATCACTTTGTTGGTTATATCTTATGACTTATGATTATATCTTATGATTTATGATTTATCACTTTGTTGTTTGTATGTATACTGAGAGCTTATGCACTGGAGACAAATTCCTTGTGTGTCTAATCACACTTGGCCAATAAAGAATATTCTATTCTATTCTATTCTATTCTATTCTATTCTATTCTATTCATCTGGAGCCTGCCTTTAGATATTGACAGAAAATATTGCGCTAAGGACAAGCTTAATCCAGTCTCTTTCATGAGCTGGGGATGAGGTAAAGGCAGAAACAATATAGGGTTGTGTTCTGTGGTTAGATGCCACAAAGGAAAATTGTTTGTTCATGATGACTTTGTTCTGCTGTTAGATGTAATTGAGGAAAGACCTACAATTAGGTCTTTAATCAAATTAATTGTGATCCTGTTAGAGATAAAGTTCTGAGGAGATAATTACCTCCTAATATAATGGAAAATTGAACATAACATGAAACCTTTCTTCAAAACTATGCCCATCAGCACACAATATTTTTATGAATTAGCTTTGACAGTTACATGAGTACCTTCTTTATGAGAAAAAGCTACTGGGAAACCTCAGTGTAGCAGTGAGAATCAAGATAGTCTATGAGTTTAGTGGAAGTGAGGAATGGAAGTATGTGCAAAAAGGTATAACACATATCATTTGTGGGCTCAAAAATAGAACTTCCTCACCTGTTTGAATAGTTGGGGGGATATATATAAATATTCTGTGTATGTATGTATGTATGTATGTATGTATGTATGTATGTATGTTATTCAGTTTTGTTCGGGTATTTTCCCAAGTCATTATAGTTGTGCTTTTAAAGTTGTAGAAACATTTCGGCAGAATCTCATCTGCCATCATCAGGCTTCTGTATTGTGTTCGTCTGTGACTTTCACAGCCATTTCTGTTTTAAATTTGGGGCTAGTCTACTGCTGTGCCAGAATGGTTTTTTCTTCATCCTGATTGGAGGTATCAGCTGGAGGTATCAGGGGGAGTCTGTTTGTGCCCAGGTGTTTGCCTGGCTTGTTTGAGAGTGCAGGCTTCCAGATAATTTACAGTCTGGTGGAGTCATCTCTTCTATTCTTCTATCCAGCTCAAACACACCCCAACCAGGCACCCAGACGAAACCTAGCTTCCTAATAAATGATAGCCGTCCGTTTACTCGGAACCAAGCCGCACTAAAAGCCTCCTATACAGGAAACACAATGTTGCCAGCCAATCAAGACAAAAAAAGCTACAAAACAGACAGAAGATATTAGAAACACCAATCAAGCAGAACACAGCAAATTCCAAGACCAATTAACACAGACCAAGACTCCCAACCAATCAGGATGAAGAAAAAAACCATTCTGGCACAGCATAGGCTAGCACCAAATTTAAAACAGAAACGGCTGTGAAAGTCTGAGTCACAGACGAACACTATAGAGAAGCATGATGATGGCAGATGAGATTCTGCCGAAACATTGGTACAACTTTAAAAGCACAACTATAATGACGTGGGAAAATACCCGAACAAAGTGGAATACTATACTGATGTACATACATACATATATAAATATAAATATAAATATATAAAAATAAATAAATGCTGGCCACAGGGCTTCAAAAGACAAACAGATTTTTGGAATATAAGTAATCCTTAACAAATGTTCCCTCTAAATAAGTAGTGTGCACTTGCTAACCTGTGGAATTTAGAAACTATAACAAGAATTAAGACATCACTCTAACATTACAAATAGCAAGGGCCTTCAACAATAATTTGCAATGCAGTGAAGCCTGTTTGGCTTTTATGCAAGAATATCACCTGACATGCATTTGCAAATGCAAAGTTCTAGTAATTTTTAACGGAAAAGTCAAATGATTGGGCCACACCACAGCTGGGCCAAGATTTATCAGATCAAAGGAAGAATGCTCTGAAACATGTCCTGACATGGGAAGCAACTCTCCATAAGGAAGATGATCAAAGAAGCAGACCCAGTAGTAGTAACCAGAAGCAAGACTCATAGAAAATATTTTGTACCACATATTTCAATTGGCTTCAATTGTCCCTGAAGAAGAATCTGGTTCTGAATCTTCAGAAAGATTAAGAGAGCCACTATGAAATAAAAGACAAGGCACAGCATGCAATTACATCCTGTGTGAAAACAAAAAGAAGAGTCAGTGGTTCACTTCTCTGAGCATTCTCAGAGAATGAATGAATGAATGAATGAATGAATGAATGAATGAATAAATAAATAAATAAATAAATAAATAAATAAATAAATAAATAACCACAATAAAAAAATAGGCTTCTAAGACTAAAACAAACAAGTGGATCACTGAACAAGACAATGTAGTTGAGGCCCAAAGTACAGACTCAATTTTTTTGTACTTTGGACACATTTGTTGTCCTCAATTCGGGTCTGAGCCTGGTGCCGAGGCTGATGAAGGATGCCAGACATGAGGTGCAGATTTTGATTTCCTTTTTATTGGAGTGCTTTTTATTGAAAGCTTCATACATTTTCACTAAAGCAGAAGGCGGGACAAGGCAGGAAAATAAGAAATATCGTCTAATAAACATTTTAGTAACGATCTAACAATTTGTTCTATTGGTCTCTAGCTGTCCCTATTCCTAAGCCTTGGCTAATGAATGCACCATTAGCGTTATGTAATACACATTCTATTTGATCCAGGCCATCCCTATTCCTAACTTTTAGCTGAGCTATGCAGGATGTCTAATTCTTTGTTACTGTTATCAGTCCTCTAACCACCCAGAATTGCTACAAGTATTACACATGCATATTCTCTGTGAATAAGCATTCTTTGTTGTTGCCTGAAAGACTCCATAATTACAGGCTTCCCAGTCTCCTTTCAAGTGTATGCCATAACCTTGCTTTGTTTTAACAGTCAGCCCAGGGGTGGGATTCAACCAGTGTTAACAACTGGTTCGGTGAGCGGGCCAAATGCACACATTGCGCCCGTGCCCAGCATTTACAACTCACCTTCTGCTGCAAGCCCTGTGTGTAAAATAGTTGACGTGCGGCAATCCGCTGTGCTGCGCAAATCCACTGAGCTGGAAAACCCAGAAATAAAGCACAGATTAGAGCCGGGGCAGGCAGGTAGGCCCAACAGCTGATCGTTGGAGCAAATCCGTTCACTCACAACTGACCTTCGGAGCTACCGGTTCACTCAAACCAGGCCAAACAGGTAGAATCCCACCCCTGAGCCAGCCCCTCAGACCCCCAGCCTTTGAATCTGAAAATGATTACACATTTATCCTCCATTCAAACTGCTTGCATAAAAAAAAATGCCATGTACAAATATTTCCTTTCATACTTTCTCCAGGAAAACCAATCATTATTATCATTATTTGAGAGAGCTTTTCACAAGCCATTGAGCTCCATTTTTCCAAATTCTTTTTTTTAAATAATAATAATAATGCCTTTTTGTTTATTGTTATTAGAGGGTCTTGCTCCTCTCCCAAGACATATTTATTTATTTTATTTATTTATTTGATTTGTCAATCGCTTACAAGATAATAGGTATAAGTATATACATAGTTATGAATACATGAAATGGGTACATATAAGAAAAATAAAAAAAAACAATAGGACAGGGACAGTGGGCACATTGATGCGCTTATGCAGCCCCCTACAGACCTCTTAGGAAAGGGGTGAGATCAATAGTAGACAGTCTAAGGTTAAAGGGTTTGGGGTTTGGGGAAGAAACCACAGAGTCAGGTAGAGTATTCCAGACATTGACCACTCTGTTGCTAAAGTCATATTTCCTGCAATCAAGTTTGGTTCGGTTAACCTTGAGTTTGTATCTATTGTGTGCTCTTGTGTTGTTATGGTTGAAGCTGAAGTATTCATTGACAGGAAGTCATTGCAATGTATGATTTTATATACCATACTTAGATCAGACCGAAGACGGCGTAATTCAAGGTTTTCTAGGTCTAGCATTTCAAGTCTGGTTGCCTAAGGTATTCTGCAACAAGTAGAGGAGAACTCTTCTTGTGAACTATTTCTGGACTTTCTCAACTGTGTTAATATCAGATGCGTAATGTGGGTTCCAGACTGATGAGCTTTATTCAAGTATAGGTCTAGCAAATGTTTTGTATGCTCTAGTTAGTAGTGTGACATTACCAGAGAAAAAGCTACATAGGATTAGGTTAACAACTCTTAATGCCTTTTTGGCTATGTAGTTACAGTGGGCTCTAGCACTTAGATCATTAGAGATGAGTATTCCAAGGTCCTTGACAGAGCTTGGATCATCAACAAGGTCTTGACTATTCAGCTTGTATTTTATTTTCTGATTTTTTTTTGCCAATATGTAAGATAGAGCATTTATTTGTTGAGATTTGAAGTTGCCATTTGTTTGACCATTCTGATACATAGTCGAAGTCTTTTTAAAGAGTAGCAGTATTGTTGGTGGTGTTGAATAGCTTTACATCATTAGCAAAAAGAACACAGTTGCTATTAATATGATCACAGAGGTTATGTAGAATATGAAGAGAGTTGGTCCTAGAACACTGCCTTAGGGGACCCCACTGTTGACAGCT